TTTGCAAAGATGCACCTGAGGAAGAGACGTGCAGGAATGCAAATGCAGCCTACCGTTTTGATTTTGAATAATGCCAGATGTCATATGAAGATCGATTAAGGAAGTTCTGGCACTTGGTAAGGTTCCGTGAGCAAGCACTACGATGTGATTAAAGTCTTTTTACATTAAATAAGACAGTAGTATTAGCCTTATTCCTCGGAAAGAAACAGGGGATGGAGATATAGTTTGGTTGATTTTTCGGCAACATGCCTTTATTGAAATATTAGCAGAAGATCAAAAAAAGACATCTGTTATGGTTTCGATAAAGGAATGCTGCCGAAATATCACTCTAACAGTATCTCCTTTCTCCTGGTTTTCCGAGGAATAAGGCCAATGCTGTTGTCTTATCTATGCGAATAATGTTCCCGCTAATGCACTGAACAACTTACGTAATTTTTATACTGTTTCCATATTGGGACGATGGGCAGCCTGGACCTGAGAAAGGGGTTCAGAGCCGCTTGGTTGGATAACTTTATGTATGACTTTATTGCATGACTGTGCATGCTATGACCACGTGTGTATGGTCATACCACAAGACCATATGTGGTATCACCATGAAACACCCATGACACCTAACGACACCCTGTAACGCTCGCCCGTTGATCGAGCTCTGACAAGAGACTGTGTAAAAAAAACTCCCTTTTTCACCTTCAAGCATTCTTGTCTAAAGCCCTCTACCGCCAGTCGTCCGCTGTAGGGTGACGTGAGATTGCATCAGCTGTGGGGCGCCTTTGTTCAATCTCAGACACGTGCTCTGGCCGCCTACCAAATGCTCCATCGGAGCCTGAGGTTTGCCTGACCTCCGGAATGTCATCCGATACTTACTTTAAAAAGTTGCCTTCAGCGTCTCATTACCTGTAAGTTGCATAAGCCAGTTCGGGGATCACAAGGCGGTGCCCTACTTTCTGGTTGGTTTAGGCGACCATCGGACGACGTCGCACTCGTTTCTCATTGGTCAACATCACGTCATTTATGTACCCAAGGACCATTAATCGGTTCCCACGCACACCGTATATAAACTGTACCCTTGGTGACCCTAAAAGGGAAGCTCCTTCTCCATCAAGCTCAAAGACGCGAAATCGCTGTGTTGTGTGTGCGTCGTGGTGTGGACGTTGGTGATTGTAAGTGCGCAGCAAATAGAAGCCCTATTTGACAAGATCTCTATTTAGTATCTGCGAGAAGGACTGGCACGAGCGAGGTTTCCACTAGCACTATCACGCCACCAGTTAGAAATATGCTACAGATGGCTTTGACATTGATGAGGCTTGCTGCTAGTCAGTGTGTTTGCTGGTTGCGTGGCACCGATAAGGACGGCGTGCACCAAGCACGTGCTTAAGTAAATGTCGGAGCCTGGCAGAGTCTGCATTACGCGGGCAGCAGTTTAAAGCACCAGCCGTTATGATGTCCGCTCTAGGAAAATGTCCGGCCGAATGCTGTAATTATAATTCCATGTCATCATTTTTCACGTCAGTTGCGGGCTGTTGTTCGCGGGAACTTGACGGGCAGGAGCGAACAATGCATGTCTGTGTACATAACTAAATGAACGTCGACCAGACGTCTAGATCTGAATGGACAAAAGTCGTGACTAGCGCAGCGAGTTGGGTCGGGAGTTATGATAGCCACCCCGCCGCTTTCTTTCAGCAGGGTCCCGGCAATAGGCCTGTCGCTGCTGACAATCCTGTAACCAGCTATTGTCGGTGGGCGACCATTTAGATCATTTATACTGGGTGTATGCTAGAAGAAGTCGTTGGAGAGGTCTTGTGACGTATTTCAAGTTCAGCTACACCGAGCATGTCTCGCTCTTTGCTGGCCTTACTGACGATGTGGGAAGACAATTGACCGTGCACCGTGCAATCACTCGAACATTCGCTTCCTACTCATGTCCAAAAATGGAAGTGCAGATCATATGTGAATGGGGTCTGTGGTTGGGAGAGGCCACGAGCCCAGCCACCTATCGACGTCGCGCTTAGGAAACTGCGCTTCATATCTTCGCAGTAAAGACGGTACAAATCAGGTATGCCACCGTTAAGTAATGCGGGGTCACCGTGGCCAATCCATGACCTCCTATGAAGTTGACCTTGATGATATGACACTTCTGAGCATGCACGATGAATCTTGTGCGTCAAAAAACATCCGGAGGGTTTTAAGAGTTTGACCCGGTGTGACCTTGACATGGATTGACCCTTACGACTTCCACCCCCTATACCCAGCTCAGCCACTTTGGCTCCAGATACAACGGGTGTAAGAGCTGATTGGCTTACTTCCTTGATTTAACTTGATATGACCATGGCCTTTAACAGCTTAGTAAAGTTGACGCGTCATAATATGTGCGTGCCATAAACGCCTGACACATTGGATTCCACCTAACAAAGACATTTTGTTCACGCAGTGCTAAGAAATCTCCACATCTTTCTCACGCGCAGCCTTGAGAAAAAGGAAAAAGGAGAAAAAGGAATGTCTCAACATGGTTAGAACTTAAAACTTTGGGACCACGTGTGAGAGTTTTACGATTTAAAGCCAAGGCATATAAAATTGAATCACGACGCGCCGGGTGTTTATGGAAGTCCCCGAACCGGATAACACTTTTCCTTTGCCGACGAGCGCCAGATCATAAAGCGCCGAGGGAAGGCGTTATCCCGACAGCGTGAATATTTTTGGTTTTGGTTTGTTCCGCAGCAAGCCGCGGACACGCCTCTCCTTTTTCGGGGTCTGGTGCTATTGGCGGCCGTAGTATCAGCACTGGAATGCGTGGAAACTCACGCCCCGGAGCGCGGACACGCCATTCCTTTTTCGGGGTCTGGTGCTATTGAGGGTCATGGTATCAGCACTGGAATGCGTGGAAACTCACGCTCCAGATGGTTTCTGCAAACCTAGCTGCCGCTGGTTCATGTCGGCCAATATCTGTAGTACTTCACGCATTTAAAATGTACGGACCTCATGTTTCACCCTATGCCCTGCGGGCACGTATTACCTTCCCCATGCGAGGAGCCTTGGAAGGAAAGGAAGTAAGATCTTAAGGAAACTAAACAAGCTGGAGTCACTAGCAAATGGCACTAGAAAGTCATCATTCTTGTGTGGAAGGATTGAGACGAGGTAAGAGCATGATGGATGAAACAATTGTTCAGACTACCGTCCCCGTCCAGTGTGTCAGTATCTACACAACAATTTCTGCCAGTTCAGTTGCCGGCCGTCGTCAGCTGCCATCGCGTCTTGAGAAGGACTGAACGCTATCTGGCTTTCAGCCATGAAGACATGGTGGTTCCTTCCCGAGTTTGTCCAGCTGGTAGAACATTGGGCTGATGATCAGAAGATCCCGGTTCGAATCCCAGCGATTCTGAGAACAGGAGTTTGGGTACGACGAGTACATGGCGGGAAGCCAAACTCTCTCCAGTTCTTCACAGGACTCAATAACCACTAAATAACGACTAAAAACCCAATAGCACGACGGTCCGAGAGTTAACCGGTCCAGGTGCTGTGCTCACACCATCGCACCGGACAAGAACGACAGTTCAGACAATGGTCACATCCATGGATACCTGTTATTGAACTGTACCACGTAGACGTGGCTGAATAAGGTAGAATGCGTCGTTTTACATGCAGAGTCGGGTCATATAGGTCAAGTTAGTACTGGACATACCCCTGCTGCTGTCACGAGAACCGAGAATGTCACGACAGCGCAGAAGGCGTGGAATGGGTCTTGAAAGCTATCTGAAGGACACTGATCAATATCGATATGTGTGGCATGTGCTATGCCAGGTCAAAGGGGTGAAAACCAGTTTTTGATTCGCTGTTTAAGTAAATCCAGAACGACACAACAGTTATTTAGAATTTGTAAAATTTAGAAGCATTTTAGGAGATGGATAGATGGAGATAATTATGGACGGATGGATGAAAGTATTTAGCGGCCGCCACAAAATGAATTTGTTTTTTGGCTTACACGTCAATGTACATAAAAAAGTCACAACAGATACAACAAAAGAGCACTTCTGATGCATTTTCCTTGTAAAACATGCGTGTGTTTTCACCAAATACACATTTTTATGTTTATAAACGCCTGCAAGCGGGTGGATAATGTAGTGCCCAAACAGAAATGCACTGGCCGCGCTCACCGCCTGCTGAACCGCGTCCCGTTTGCGCTGGCCGCGCTCACCGCCTGCTGAACCGCGTCCCGTTTGCGCTGGCCGCGCTCACCGCCTGCTAAACCGCGTCCCGTTTGCGCAGTTTCAGATGACGGAATGCGGAAACAACATGCTGGTGGGAGCCTTGAACGATGGAGTGCAACAGGCGCCGTTCAGGCTGGAGAGAATGCGCTGCGTGCAGCTGCCGTCCACCCACACGCGGCACGCGTGTGTGTTGCACCTCACCCTGGCGAACGACGTGCCCTGCCCACCCGACTCATTTATCGCCGGTGTTCAGCTGATGTCGGTTGATATTGTATACCAGCTGTGGTGTTGCCAGGTCGGGACGGTGTAACGCGACAGTCCAGTAGTCACCCGCTGGGTCGACACTGAACACTACTGCACACGCCGAGACGTCAGCACTCCGATGAGCTCTTGGTCGGGCCGGTGGTGTGCTTCAGAGCGGTGATCACGTGTTATTGCCACCAGCTGTCGCGGCGACCTTGCAGCCTCATGAGGCATGTGCCTAACGAGTGTGTAAAACCGTGACACAAAATATATGTTGAACGGTGGAATGTGTTAAAAACGCGGTGCATGGAGCCAGGCCTTAGCCTATCGGCTGTCACAAAAACTGAGAACTGCAGTGGAGGATGGACATACCTTCACTGCATGTAAGTCTACCCTGGAAATGATACGAAAAAGGACAGGCTGTTGTCACGGAGGGCATCTGTGAGGATAGCGTCAGGGAGGTCACTGAACTTCAATGCAAATCTTCTGCTGCGTGTTTGCGGTTCTCCAGAACGGCGGAACGACGGGTATCAGTCTGGGCTCAAGAAATTAGTCGAAAACGACGTCTGGTGTTTATTTGTTTTCCCGATCATCCACAAGATTTGACTGGCCAAGGGAGCACGTTACAGGCTGCCCTCGTTTGGACTACGTGATCCGTTCGGTGCCCGGGGATCTGACTTGATACCGGTCTTCTGGCTTTGCCACAGGACCTGAGAACACATCGCAGGGTCAGATGGGAGCGCTGCAGTCTTGATAGTATGACTGGAGAGTGTAGCATGGCAGGTGTTATGGAGTTGCACCAACTTTCATTGATTACGGCTTAATTTTTACATTGCGTCATTGAAAGTCGCTCGCGGCTTTGCTGCACCAACTTTCCACAGTGTGATGCGTCTCACCTGCAGGGAAGGGTAACCACGCGAGGGGTGCAGGGGCTCCCTTCGGTAGTAGATAAGCAGAGAAATATGCGACGTTTCATGTAAATACTGAAATGACATTTTCAACAGAGCGTTCAGCTATTTTGTTTTAACCGTGCCCATTACGTTCGCACTAATTAGTGCAGTTTTTTTCTAGTCAACATTGTGTGTCTGATCGGATCGGGATTCCGTCGCACCCAAACAGCTTGAGTGCCGCTGGCAGGGGAACGGGGGAAGGAAGCCTGGGATAGGAGAGTGATGTGGGACGGATGATCTGGCCTGAGCAAGCATATTCTGCAAGCAGATAGATGGTGCTATCAAAAGCATCACGGTTGTAACACGCTCAGCACTCAGCCATTTCTTCCTATTTTCACTTCATCCTGCATACCGCAGGGTACCGGCATGCCAAAAGGACACCCTAAACAAACCACACCCCAAATAAAGAATCTGGCATACCCCGTGCAGGTCACGTTTCGGTGGAAAGCTCCGAGGTGCATGCAGCATTGTCACGCATATCCACACTCCTTCGTCCAACAATTCTGAGGTGGTCCCTTATAGCCGAAGGAGTTAGCCTTGGCCATACCGTGCTAATGCGTTCGGAAAAACTAATTAGTGCGAAATAGATTAAAAGAACCATTCACTTTTAGGGATACTCAGACAAGCATCAGGCATAGTGGAAAAAGCTTATTTTTACCTATTGATATGCTTTCGAGAGCAAAATACTGCTCCAAATGGCATCAGAGTCGCCGCCAGACTGGCCTTGTCAGAGTTGCTACTGTAGCGGACGGTGTGTGGCTCACTGGTGGTAATCATACGCGTTACAAGGTGACGGTGGTGGTATTAAAGGGAGTATTCCATATCTTTATGGGGTTCTGAACTGAGATAGCCACTTTGAAGATCAATCAGTGCACTTCACGACCCTGCCGTTCCTAAAACTTAAAATCTTCTGGTTTCTAAGCACGACGCCCGCGAACTTGTGCCAGACTATTTCGTTGCAAAATATTACGAGGTCACTCAGGCGTGCATGACGCCATGGAAACGTAAAGTAAATCCCGTGATCCTCTTGGCCATGCGACACTGAAGGCTCAGCTGGATATCATCGTTGAGCCATTCGCGTCTGGCGTAAATCAGTACCATTTCGGATACCAGCAGAGGCCAACTGACCATACAGCAATGTTTTGCATGCAGTTCAAGTTTCGATCGCAAATCACGTAGTTTTGTACTGCATAATGTAGGAAATTGGACGGCGATACCAGTGATGACGGAAACAAGGCTGGAAATCTGATATCTTAAAAAGTATCTTAACCGAGCATGTGAATGCGAGCGAACAATATAAAACCTGGTCCTACCAACAACGCACCGATGGCACGGCACCTCTCGAGAAGATGAAGTACTGCAAGTGAGTTAGCTCGTCCGCTACAACAGCAAGTTTGCACGACCACTTTGGCAGACCATCTGACGTCATAAAGCGTCCCACGATGCAGCAGAACGATGACGTATCGAGGATCATATTTACTGAATAGTGGAGCTTTGATGTCTATAGCAGTGTTTACACTTAGAATCATGCCAATAGTTAGAACTGAGCTTATCTGATGCCTGACTTAATGTGCTCACATATGAAACATTTCCTTTTAAAGGACATGGCTGCGAACTTCGGGGAGTGATCTTGAAAATCCTTACATCAGTTCAATTACGTTACATCATGGCATGAGTTCAATACCGTTTAATCAATCGATCAATCAAATAAATAAACAAAGATATATATATATATATATATATATATATATATATATATATATTATTCATTCATAGCGTTATCAATAGTGATATACCGGTATATACTGACTGATATACCTAATATCAGTTACCATCGGTTACAACGATCATCATATTGATCACATATTCAATTGCTATATCATCCTCATCTGTTCCGTCGGCTGGCTTCTTATTTCCTTATTTCCCAAACTGAAGCACTCCAGTGCAGATATACCAATACGTAAAAGAACATCTAGAGGTCGAATCCACGCAACACCAAAGTATCATGTCAAATATTTCGCACCATTGGCCGGATGGGGCGATGAATGATTGTACCAACGAGCCGGCATTCCAGCTACGCCATCGAATGATTTTGTTTTTTTCTCCTTTCGTCCTCAAAGAGCTTCGACACGTGCAAATTCAGCATTGATAGAACAGCCGCATGCATATAAACAGACACGCGGGCGCCAGGCAAGGTCAGTTCACCGAGTTGATGGTCCCGTAATCGATGTCAACCAATACGTTAAATATTGCTATGCATATACCTTTGAGGGCTGCAAAAACCCGTCAGCCCACGAACCACGTGGCCAATGTACTTGTTTTTTTACGATGCATGATTGTCTCTCTGTTTGTTAGTTTTCCCGGAGAAACTACAAAACGTAACAGATCAATTGGTGTCATGCGCATAGGCCACTTGATCTACGACACAAGTTTGAGTATGAGAGGAATGATGCCCCGATTACAATCGCTCCAAAAAAGCCTAGTTTCGTATCTCCGACAAAAGACAGTTGCGATGAGCACCATATGCATCTGGCACTGTTTGCGAAAGATTGCCCGACACAACGTCCGTGCCTTGATATGTCAGTGTAGAGTAACCCAGCAGCAACACATTTGTGCTATTCGCACAGTAAGAGCACCATGGAACATGATTGTTTCAACGCATCGCGGGAATCTTTGTGCTACGTTATGTTTCTCCCACTCTCCCGCTCTTTCCTCCCCATTCCTCTCTATAATATCTATCTCTCTCATGGGCTGTGCGCGACACCATATTCGTCCTCCTCTGCCGAATTCCATGGAAATATGCCGGTGCCCCCCCCCCCCCCCCGCCGCTGACCGTCAACAAAGCATGCACTGGCTGGTACGGGAGCTCTCAAACTGGGCGAGCCGCCTCGTTACACATGTGGCCACGACTCGCAGCACTTATCAAACGGGCTGGTACTGGCCTGGGGAAACCGAAATGTTTGGCCAAGACGTCTGTGAGTGAATACTTAAAACAAATGTCAAGAATAGCGGCCCGTCCAAATTAAAGGAACTGCACGGCGCCAATGCTCGCAGAAATCGCTAGTCCGTTCGCTGGTGGCGTCTGTCATCCTTGGAAAGACCCACAGAGCCCTACGTCTCTCTCGTAGTCGCCAGCTTCACGAGAGTGGGCCCCCTCCTCAGGTCACGAGGTCGATGTCTCTCTCGCAGTCGTCAGCTTCACGGGAGTGGGTCCCCTCCTCAGGTCACGAGGCCGCTGGTCTCACTCCCTCCGCATGACTCACCGGGGGGCTGCCCGGACCGCGCGAGGCTGGACACCTCAGCATCGCCAGCCCTTGGTAGGCGGATACGGATTCCAGTGAGTGTTGAGGGCCCCTTGAATGTGCCGGTACCTGTGAAATGAAATTCATTTCTGTCTACACCACCATCGATGACAGCATGCTCGAGATATTTAGTGGCGCATTTGTTTCTGGGTGAATAAAGTAAGGTTAGCTGTTTGGAGCGTACAATTTTGGCTTCGTTTACGTTTGCTGGACGTGACACCGCAATTAGGGTTTAAAAGGGTGTTTAATGAATACAAGAGCGTTAAGACGCGCTCGGGTGGCCGGCTGGATACCCTTCGCTCGGGAGGGGGTTAATTTGACCCCACTGGGATCTCGGGAACTAAGAGAGCTAGAGACACCAAATTTACAGGGTGTGGTGACCTGTACGTGAACTCACTTATGTCGAATTTTGAGATTCCTGGGTCGGGACATTCGTTTCAAATAATGTATAAAAATATAATTCCGGGTTGGTCTCTGAAGTGCCCCTAGAACTTAGATAACTGTTTCTTAGCAAAAGACCACACCCCCATTCAAGGTCAGTGACCTTTTTTTACCTTTTGAGAGTCATGGTGACCTAAATCATACAACACTGTTTCGAGTTTTGCATTCGAAAAAGCGACGAAGAATGCGCTATGCAGTATGTTCCTAAAAATAAAACGTCTACCTGGGTCGTTTTAGGTCAATGACCTATTCTGACCCCTAAAAGTCCATGGAAGATGTAGAATACGGTTCATGCAATCAATAAATTCAAAGTGAGCAGCGGAAACTACCCCACACAGCAAGCCCCACGGTAAGAAAGCATGTTGGTTTTGACCTTAGTCCGACCTTTCTAAGTGACCTCAGGTCAATTTTACCTTCTCATTCAATTGTTGTGTTGCCAAAGAAAGCATCTCAGGGATGTATGGCTTTGTTTAGCACTCCGTTGTTGCTTCTGATTAAACGATTCCCTACAAATTGACCTCGCTGAAACCATGGCCTGATTTTGACCTGTCATAGGTCCGCGACCTTACAAGGTGCATCTAAATGCTTAACACCAAACGATCCGCCATTTAATTGTCGATAGTTATGCAAAATTTGGCGCGGGTGCGCCGCGTCGCTCGAAAACAATTCTGGAAAAACCTTTAGGGAGTGAATTTGACACCCACCCGACCTCGTGTTAAGAAGCCTTAATACGCCCTCAAATGAGGGTCGATTTGACTTCCTTCAAATATTAGATAATTAAGGAGCTACGCTACGCAGACGTGCCAAATTTTGCAAAGCTGGAGGTAATGGAACAGCAAATCCTTTGATATCAGCAAGTTGGATGTACCTTGTACGGTCACTGACTTACGGGAGATCAAAGTCAGGCTGTGGCTGTCAACGAAGTTAGCCTAGGATTCGTCCAATCTGGTGCGACAATCAAACAGAGTGCTAGACGAAGCCATACACCCCTGAAAGTTTCTTGGGCAAAACAATAAAATTTAGGATTACAAAAAAACAATTGACCTGGGGTACGGTATGAGGATTAGACGAATGCGAAAACTAATCAGCTTTTGAACTCGATAGCTTGCTACATGCGGTAGTTCCTGGTACTCATTTCGAACCCATTGATATCAGAAGCCGCAACGGACATCTTACATGGACTTCTCAACGCTCAGAAAAGGTCAGGACCTAAAATAACACAGATCAACATTCTGTCTTTTGGAACATACCATCTAGCACAATCCTCGACGCTTATTCAAATGCAAAAATCAAACCAATCCTGCAGGATTTTAGTCACCGTGATCTTCTTATGTCAAACGATGTCACTGTCCTTAAATGAACACTAGTGTCGTTTTGCTTCGTACGGGTACTTATGTCCATGGCTGTTGGATGAGGACGTCTGGGGTACATTGGACACTAATCTCGACTTTTAACCTTGTGTGATATTATTTGAACTAAACATCAGACGTAGGAACCTCAAAACTTGATACAAGTGCGTTCACATACAGGTCAACCTATCCCTTGATTTTGGTGTCTCTAGCTCTCTTTAAATGTTGAGATCTCAGAGGTCCAATCACTCTCCCCTATCCCCCCCCCCCTCCACCCGAGCGAAGGGTATCAACTGGCCACCCGGGCACACGTCAGGTGACAGCTGATTAGATTGGGCAAATACATCATATAGCGCTATATTTTTATCAAGCTACCCTTAGATATATCCAGTGTATTTGTAATGTTAACTAGATGTTGAACTTCAGTTAGCCTTCGACGGGTATTTGATGTTCATCGCGATCCTTGCGTTCATTTCAAATCACTGTGATAAAGATTCTTGAATGCTAATTAATTGAGGGCAGTATGCAAAACATCCTCGTGGAGAACGGAATGCCACGAGACGTACTTGTTCTTTGATCCGGCCAGGCGTCCCCTGGCGATTTCTTCCTTCAGGTTACGGTAACATTTCTGGCTGTCCACATATCTACAAAAGAACATGATGTCACGTCATGCCTTACAGAATGTCAATAGGTATATATCATATAAGGCAAACGTGATACAAAGCCGAAGCCACCATTATGTTTACAACTACCATTAATTAGCCATGCATAATAGCGCGGCAGCGTTTTGACAGATCATGCCCGTTGCCAAGTGGAGTGAGGCGCTTCAAAATATGTTACGATTTTGGCGTTGTGCGAAAACATTGAGCGGCTTCCGAGAAGATCAGAATGCCATCATGAGTCTTCGTCAATCTTGTACGGACCGTGGAAAACGGGATGCGTGCAGCATTTATCATAACCCAACCGAAGTGTTGATTTGATATTGTAGACAATCCTAGACTTTCGTCCAGTCTCTATCCTTCCCGTCAGAGCAAACACCGTGTTGAGGGTTGTGCAGTACCACCTTCTACCCCCTTTGTGCACAAACCATCTCCCTGCTTTTTCTCAATGTCGCTCCAGACATCGCTGTCCTATTGGAACCGCCCAGCTCACAGCCCTGTGTCCCCAGTGGATGAGAACAAAATTTGTGTACTCTGCTTGACAGATCTTAGCAAAGGCTTCCGGGAAGTCGATCATTCCAAATTATTTCCCAGGCGGTGGTGGTATAGTGTTAAGGTCGTTCACCTCTGGACCTATCGGCCCTGACCTCGGGCCCCTACCCACCCCACTACTGTATCCCATATAATACGTAATAAATGAATCCGTTTCGAAATGGCCCCGGAAGTCGATGAGATGTAAGCGCCTAATCGTTACTGAATTACTTTTCAGGCTGCAGCTGCAGTGGAACAAAAACGCATAGTTTAAACTGCATCTTTCTGACCAAATTGAGGGTCTGGTTTTCTTCGTCATCACATACTGGTCAGTTGTCAGTCTTCGGTCCCGTTCCAAAAGCTCATAATTTTTTTCAGATGTTCTCTCCAGAACCTCTACTTCGATGCTTTTCGAATGACCTGAGCCTACATGCCACTGACGCCTTTGTAGTACAAAAGGTCGATGTGCAGGCACTGGTTTCTAGTCCAAAATTTTTAGCTCAAAACTGCTAAAAAACTAAATTGTGCAGACGCGTTGCCAGCTTAGAAACGTAATGAGTCACTTCAAGTGGTTGCTATTACAACGAACTTTATGCCAACAAAGGAACATCCGACCCCTCTTTCGGGATTTGTCACAACCTACAGGGCACCGGTCCTCACAACGTAAATTCCGGGTGTCCCCCACCGCTCCTCACTTGGAGGCCAGGAACTTCGGTGTTAGCTTTGACCGGTGCAATGCTGGGGACGCTGAGGAGAGCACCCTGGCTCGGAAGTGTTGTGGGGTCCTAGCTGGCCCATTTTACCTTCGCCACAATCTTCCCCGGATAGTCCTCTCATACCTTTCCCTACTTATCTTTTCGCACGTCCGATACTGCCCAACCGCTAAACCTTACCACCAGCGTTCGCTGATGTCTGACTCTCTTTTAGCATGTCCTCAAAACACATTTTATTAGTCTCGAGCGTTACGCAGAATTGATGGCACCTGTCGTGTTCGGATAGGATTCTAAACACTATTTCGTGACTTCAGGGTTCAATGAGGGATTCAATCCGTGTTGTCGTTGGTGCCTAACTTGTCAAAGCGCGCCGCGTGAATGATCTGCCCCTGTGTCACTGACTTGCTGATGTGAGCAGACTCAGGCCCGAGAATAGCCCCGGTAACCTTTGTCAGGGTTCCGGACGGGCCTTCGAAGGACATAACGGCAACTACTAAAGATCACCCATGCTCCGAAAAGTGTCGAACATTAGGACGAAACTGAACGGTACTTACGTATGCGAAAGGGCTTATCAAGGTTAAATGTGTCATCATTTATTCATTTTGAGCATTGATTATCATTGATGTCTAAAATGATTTAGGCATTTATATTAAAATCATTCAGGCATTAATTATCATCTTAGGCATTAACGTGCATGCAGGCATGTTAATGCATGCATGCACGTCTTGGTCAATCGCACGGGCCTAACAGGAGCATTCCGCAGTTGATGTTGAGGAAAGCATCAGAAATCATGGAAAAAGCTCACTTGCAACTATTAGTGTGATTTTAAGTGCAAAAGGCCGTTCTAGACTAAATGAAATCCTTTTTTAGTAAAGATGTCCGTCAATGCCTCATATCATGTTGTTGTGACGTTCAAATCGCTGTCAGATTAGCCGTTTGACAATCGCCACTGCAGAGAAACGGGCCGACCGACTTGTAGTACTTCAACTTTCCGATAGGTGGCTTGTTAACTGATGCGTGTGAACCGAACGGAATATCGTTATGTATGCGGTTTTGGGTCTTTCTCGTGGCGTTCTTGTACATTTGTCCGTAATGACTTGTTTCTTCTTCCATTCGAATGCCTGGTTACGGCACCATCTAAAGTTATTCTATTTCCAGCCTTATTTCTTGCTTTCACAAGTACAACTGCCCAAATGCCAGTGTTATCCATCACAAAACGTGGTTTGTATGCAAAAGCTGCGTGAAACGCTTACAAGGGATTGCAAGCCAAGCGGCATCCGTTAATGCGGCAATTCAGGCTGACGTACTCCAGGCACGAATAACTCAAATATTATCTTTTCTTGACCTATAACGCTATATGGTCATCGATGGGGCAAACTTGTGGCGATTCTATGGCGTCCTGTACCTCTGGGCGTTTGTAAATAGGGCGGCGTGAAATACCTACACGAGTTCGAGTGCGTGTAGCTGAACAACGTAAGGAGCTGAAGTCTTGGGCAGGACGTAGCTGTGAACTACATGAAATCATCTTGAACATCGTTATCTCAGTTCAAAACGACATACAAATGTGGAACAGTCCCCTTAGTTGAATTTTTGGCGAAGATTCTGCGATATTCAATCTGAGGCAACCAGCAAAAAACAACCTGAAAGGAAAGAGGCCATTACTGCCTCACTGGAAATTCCGGGCCACTTAGACACGCAAACCCTAGCACCGCAAGGCGAGTGGTTAGAACGGCATCTTTATGGAATATCACGACACACTGGTATCACATTTTTCAAATCCACTCCTTTCAGACCCGTAGCTGTTTGGAGACTGCATGGGTAAATATACTCGTAAGATTCAAGTACAGCATTAGAATTAGTGTTAAAAACATGCGCACAACGATCCAGCAGGTGGTGCTAGCTGGACAGGAGAATCGCGAGGGTATATGGTCCGTTTGGCGCGCCGGCGTGTCCGTGTGGTTACCAAACTGAAAACATTCATCGTGTCGTTCTCTCATACCCAAAAAGCATAGAGCAACGAAACGATCTGTTTAATAACGCATCTTAAATGTTGCACATCGATTTCAGACACAATTTACCTTCGTATCAGTTACAATCTCTTTTGTATGGCGCAAGTCTCATGGACGGTCCATTTCCAAAATTTCTTGCTCTTTGCTAGACGATTATTCCTTCCAAGTGTTGTCAATGATTCTCTCACCATACCATAAAAACGTGACATACCCGATGAGGTGTGTGATGACTGGTCATCAAACCAAATGAAGTAGATGAGCGAGCTGTACAGTGGCGGCGGTGACAATTAAACATTTTTTCTGTCCGTTTCCGACAAGGAGTCTCGATTTAAGCGTTTGCTTTCGCGGCTTTCTGACTTGTGTTCACATTTCATTACATATGTTGTTCAATAAACATGACGAAGATGATGATGACGATGGTGATAATGATCATAACATGAACAAGGACTTTGGGTTCATTTCAAGCGCCGCATGAATTTTCTAGTCAGCGTGACGCTCTACAGACTCTTAGCTGGAGCGTAGACGCGTGAATAGCGTGGCACGTTTTCTTTTAATATTTCAGGACCACTCATAGCAATAACTACACATGCAGGGTGTTATATTACCAGGTGTGTCTGCACGCACTACGCGTGTGCCAGCGCCATGAACAGTACGAACTACGCTATTCGTCGAGTAAGACACACTTCATCCGTTGTCGGTCGCGTGGGAGCAAACTGACTTGTTAATAAATTATCACATTGTGCTATTTCTGTCTGACGCCGATCACAATCATCATCATCACTGTAATTTATTCTGCACCACACTTAGCCACAACGCGGCAGAGCGACAAAGTATTGCAAGACCAGAAAGCACGAAACAAGCACTGAATGATACAAATTAAAAGGTCATTAGCCTCAGAAGTTCCTATAGCCGGTCTGTCCCGACAGCTTAGCTGGTTAGAGCGCCTGCCTTCCGATGCACCTGCCCATGGCGTTGTTGTTTTGAGGTCAGGCGACGTCAACGGGCAGAACAGACCGTGCCAAGTATTGCGCCACGTTTAACTTTGGCCACTAAAGTCTGCTGTTGACGCAGAATAGTACAATCGGATGACAGGGGTCAGGATCCCCGCGACAAACACTGCTTAGCGTGAAGTCTGATCCCAGAAATCCATCCAGTCAAAGAGGTTCGGATCAAATCTTCCAAAACGTAGGCGGCGGGATTTATCACCGTGCTGGCACAGGAGGAGCCACAGGGCGTCCAGCACACCGTCTTCACTCGGTGGGACACACATTAAATGGTGGGTCTATGCTACCAACGGCCACATCTAAGGTCTATGCTACCAACGACCAAACACGACTTTTCTAGCACAATTGGCCCTGACGTCTATAAGAACTGAGTTTGATGTGGTGGCTGCTGTATTAGTTGAAACTGCCACCTGCCGTTTTTTTGTTTTGCATCTGTTCCGCGCAAACTTTGTGGACATCTCAAAAATGGAGGGCCAAGCATTACCTGACCCGGAATTGTTTTGATTCCAGCTGGTGGGGCAGATGACACCGCCCTGCACGACGGGGTGCAGGGTCACATTTGCTGGGGTTTGACATCAAATCGCTTCCTGCCTCGTGACACGGAGGATGCTGTACTTCCACGAACGACGTTAGCCAAACATCACGCACGCATTTAGGTGGCGATACTAAGTTACCAGCAGATACGAGTGATCATCCAAGAATTCGGCTAGTAGTAGAAGATCCTTCTTGTCAGATGGGACCCCTTGGCATCTAAATTGGCCGCAAACGCTGGCGAACTGCGTCTGACGTTGCACTGGGTGGTCTCGAGAGCCAGAAGTGATCCTGGAGTCATCCCACGTTGCTACGTTGCTGAACAAATGCGAATCGCGAGTTCTGGCGAGAAAAGGGTCCTAACAAGCTCGCTGATCAGCGGTATCTCCAGCAATACTGAAATGACTTAAATGAATGAGACGGAACCAGGAACTAGTGAACCTATAGTTATCAAACTCATTTGGATTCAGACCCGCGTTTTCAACGGCGCGGTACCACGGTTCTGTGTCATAACGGCTTTAGCACAGACACCGCTGGGAGGCTGGCCGTGAAGCAAACGCTCTGTGGTGACCAGGCCCGTCCCCGAAGTAGCCCCACGCTTCAAGCTCGGTATCATCTCTGCAATTCCCTCGGTAATGACCACACGATAACCAGTAGCCTCATATCCTGAACAGCGTTGAGGAACCGGCACTGATATTTTGGGGACAGCTGCTCGTCTCGTCAAAGTGACCTCGAAGGTCATCAGCCCTAATAACGGGCTGTGCAGGTTGTCCTGTAGTCTGTGCTCGAGTAACATGCCGCCAAGGGAAGCCCGTTTGCCCGTTCCTACGGATTTCTGATCGCCCGAGTTGTCGTAAGTACACCACAAGCCTGACGAAAAATAGTGTGGTTGAAATGGGTCGGGAAATACATAGATATCGCGCATCAACATGACTTGACTTCGGACAACACTAACCGAACCAGTGATGACGTTGTCAGCTGGACTTGGCAAAGCATCACGCATCAGGTAACATGGCAAAAAGCAAGACAGCCGCTCATTATGCAGAAGTTCCGGTCAAGTTGTTTGCCAGTTTTCAATTCCGCGGAAGTTACACAAAGAAACCTTTTGATCAGATCACCTTTTACTCATCATGGGAATTATCTTCGTCCTAACTGGGGACGAAACTCACAGGTTCTCTACCCGCGATGTTTAGGTTTGCGTCTGAGAGTCTTAGGAGTCATTAATAGATTATATTACGCGTGGACGAGAAGGGGAGGATTGGGCGTAACGGAAGCGTGACAAGGGAGAGAGAGGGAAGGTTTTAGACAACATAAAGTCATGCTCAGGTGGGGTCGCAAATCGTGTTAAAATCTTTAAAAAACAACATAAAGCTTAGAAGATATGCATAGTTGGCTCTCTCTCGTGATAAAGGAAGCGCCATTATGGATTCACATCTCTTGCTCAATTAGGGGCTAAACGGACGTGAATTTGGCGACGTTGTGCCTTACGCAGCGTAACCAGGGTGAGGGAGGGTTCGCCAGCACAACCAGTGCGTTACCAGGGGAGAGGTTGAAAAATCTCCAACACGTGTGACGTAGTTTATGGTCTGCCCTTGGAACCTCGTCTGGCCACCCCAATTACAGGAACCGCCACACAGCTGGAAGTGGAGATAGCATCGACTCAGCGCTGCTGGCAGCGCACTGGGACCGGCCGCCAGCCGCGGTGCGCGCCTCCTGTCCCCTCCCACCCACCGTGCCTCGGTGTCGCGGCAGCGCTCCAGCATGCGCTCGCGCAGGTGATCGTCCGATGTGGCGTGCAGCTGGTGCCAGGCGTCACGCTCTGCCAGCCACTGGCGGCCATAGTCGTGTGCCACCATCCTGGCCATAATCTCCTTCTCCTGCGGCAGCGGAGGAGGAGCCCGCCTTGCAAACACATGCGGATGGCGGGCGCCCGAGGAAGCGCCCGGTGTGACCGGCACCACGACAGGGGCTGGGATAATGTGGCAGCCGGTCCTACCGGCACAATAGCGGGGGTCAGGTCGGCCCACAGCGGGAGCCAGGATACTGCGGCGTCGGGTTCGGCCGGCACGACAGCGGGAGTCAGAGGACGCTGCGGCGTCGGGTTCGGCCGGCACCACAGCGAGAGTCAGAGGACACTGCGGCGTCGGGTTCAGCCGGCACCACAGCGGGAGTCAGAGGACACTGCGGCGTCGGGTTCGGCAGGCACTACAGCGGGAGTCAGAGGGCACTGTGGCGTCGGGTTCGGCCGGCACCACAGCGGGAGTCAGAGGACACTGCGGCGTCGGGTTCGGCCGGCATCACAGCGGGAGTCAGAGGACACTGCGGCGTCGGGTTCGGCAGGCACTACAGCGGGAGTCAGAGGACACTGCGGCGTCGGGTTCGGCAGGCACCACAGCGGGAGTCAGAGGACACTGCGGTGGCGGGTTCGGCCGGCACTACAGCGGATGTCAGAGGACACTGCGGTGGCGGGTTCGGCCGGCACCACAGCGAGAGTCAGAGGACACTGCGGCGGCGGGTTCGGCCGGCACCACAGCGGGAGTCAGAGGACACTGCGGTGGCGGTTCAAGATAGCCAAGGAACCATATCTGTTTAGCCTGTCATTGCGTATTGCTCAAGCACCTTGGATATGTTGTGAATGTAATGATCGTTAACATAATACAAGTTTATGGCTATTAGTGTAGGATTAATATACATATCATCCTTGATATGATTACGTCCGCTTTAGTCCATTGCTGATGGGATGCCTAGGAAAATCCAGGGGGCTTCCGTCGAAGTGATGATGACAACAGGCGCTCAACTTACGTGCAGGTACGACGGGATGAACAGTTTGCTATTGGACGGCGAAGACTTCTTGCCTGCCCCCGGCTGACCGCCGTCCGTCTTGTCCTTCACGGTGGCACACGGGAATGCCACTGGTTGGTGGGCATGGTGCGAAGGCGATTGTTGCGCTTTGGGCTCGCATGCGCAGGGCTGGGCCACCTGTCCACTGGCACCGTGACATGCCGGCGGGGGACAGCCGTCCCCACACGCACGACCTGCCGCGGACTGCTAGGTCAGGGGACTGCGCGAGGGGCGATGACCTAGGGCTGACGAGGAGGTTCACCGGACCGAGTCCCACATGATTATGAATGATTAGAGCTTAACGTCTTATGAGATGTCAGGGCCATTTTAAGGCAGGGAGTCTTACACTAGTCTTCTTCGATTCTTCGACGTGCGGCAAACCGCAACGTAACAAAGAAGAGAAGCATGCAAAGGACGGCAGGAAAGGCGCGCGATGGCTCTTGTAATCTCGATCGGCTTCATAATAAAACCAGCACGCTGGTCACTATGGCGACATTCGAGAACCAACATGTATTCAAACTTACCCTCATTCGTCATGGTGCGCACTGCTGGTTGTTCGCCAAATTTGCGCGAAGCAAAAATGAGAGAAACTCAGGCAAAAGCATGCATATGGTCCAGTGTGAGGTTTATCCAAAGAATGGAAAAGCGGCCCGGGTGTGCACGTTAAAATAAACCGAACATAACAGAGGTGAAACTGCTAAAAGCCATTTCCGAACTTTCTCCTAAAACCATGCGGATTGTGAATAAACAATGTCATTTATTTTCTTCATGCATCTCTCGTGCCAGAACGGCATCTTTCACTATTGCTATTGACATAAACTGAAGGCGTCTTACTGTTCCTGAGAGCCTCGAGTATACTGATGCTGTGAAATACCATCTGAACAATAACAGAAACTTTTAAGTGCATCGAATATCTAAATAGCTTCCTAGCGACACTTAAACACCATCGTGGTAAACCATCGCAAGGCATACATAAAATGTGTGCATGTTAAACAATCGAGTGATTGCGGCATGATGCGATTAAAAAGAATCGCCCGATGTGGTTAAAGACGGAATGTTTAGCATTTGAAGATATTGAAGCATCAGATGCGAAGAAACACGCTCACTTATCCTTACTGGCATACTTTTAAACAGAAAAGACTGCTCCAGACAAGGTAATGCCCGTTTAGTAAATTAACCGCTCAATACGCTGTTTGATCGCGTCACCGTACCCCGCACTACATTGAGTCAATTGACGACCGTTGCATCTGGAAATCGTGCTCACAAACACCACATACGAATGGCTCGACCATTGTGATTGTGTAGACCTTTACCGCCGTATGGCTTAAGGAATGGCAGGATTTGAATAGCGTTATTATTACTTGAATGCTAAGGTGATCTTGACGTACCCTCGTCATTTTCGCCGGCGCGCAGCTCAGAAACTAGACGGGTTTAGGTCTTAAAAGGCCAGGGCTGTGAACTGCACCAAAAGGCCTTCAAGATGGCTTTTTCAGTTCAAAATCCCACGGAAATGTTGAACACTCCCTTCAAGGCGATTGATGCTTGCTAAACGCTGAATGAAACAGGCTGCCGCAGCGGGTATCAATCTGTGGATGTCTCCAGCACGTGAAATACGTGTCATCACTTCTGATCGGGTTACTTACGTATTTTTGAACACAGACATCAGTTTTGTTAAAAATGCATTTCCTATTGTGGCACAACTCAGTACAAAACAGGGCAAAGAGGCTACCTAGGGCTACTCGGGGCTTTAAGCCGATGACACTTGACACCCGCAAACACCTTGATATTCGACAATGGAAACCGCCACTCACGGGGTCGGGCGGGTACGAAGCTCTAAAACCCTGATACAAAAATATTAACTAAGATGAGAAAACTCAGTCACACAGTCGAAAACACACAAAACATTTGAAGCGTCGGTGACGGCACACTCCCACAAGCGTGAGGCCCAGAGCACAAGCTGGTATCGCAATGCGTGGACGTCGGTTCGCTAGCTACACGTCAGTAGCGTGAATGAAATCATGCTATGAAGTGGTGTTCGTGTACAACCATAAAAAGCGTCGTGCAATGCAATCAGCACAGTTTGGCGGGACGAAAACTTCTCTTTACACACAAATCACTCAATAAAACTGTCAATTATAACATATGAATGTATACCGTCAACAATAGTAACTGTGCAATAACTAGAGCCAGTAAAGGCGTTCAATAATACCGGCAGTTCATGGCAGCTCAAAATCGGCCTGCGAATTTGTACCAAACGTTCAGTGCAGAACACATAGCTTTCGGGTGCAGCAGCCCAGTCAAACGACACGATACAGAGCGTCTACTTCCTTGTCGCTCACCGACGGAGGAAAGACATTAGCAGAGTGTAAACCAGCGGGCACAACACCAAAATACTGATCCAGTTCATAGCAGCAGCGACACTCGGCCGCAATGAGACAAGGGTGGGTCGAGGTCGCACGCCAGGTGTCTCAGGAGGATGACACGCCGCCGGCCACCGCCGATGCGGTCACCCCCGCGCAGCCCCCGACACGGCACCGGCGGTGAACCGGAGGCAGCGCAGCGCGGGGTCCCACGGCGGACGGGGCGGCACGTCGCGCGATCCCCCCGCTCCGGAGAGCGCGCTGATCGGTCCCCCTGAAGCGGCTGCCGACCACCGGACGAGCACGCCACATGGCACACGTACGAATGGCGAAGCACGGCGCGCCGGCGGGCTCCCTTGGCGAGCGGGCAGCTGACATCAAGCGTTGCGGTACGCACAAACGGACAGTAGGCGCTGGCGAACGCAAGGAAGCGTCGTGGGTACAGCGACAACAAAAGGTACGGCACAATATCACAGGGCTTTATCCGACGATGAACATTACAATGGTACGAGCAGCCAAGATGAAGAAACGCAACATTGAGGTCGGTTGTAACAATTGCACTGCATTGCCCATTCACACTCCACCAGCTCACCACGTAATCCGTAGCAGCCAATACCAAAGCATCCACCGCGGGGTGGCCGCACAGTCTACATCGACAGCCAACCCAAACGCCGCCGAACTCTCCAATTCTCGAAATGCAAAACCCTGACGCACGGTAACCCCACACAAACGGAACGCTCCGTCCGCGCCTAATATCGTAGCTGATGCACTGACGTGGCGTGCGTGCCTGCCGGAGTCACCCGGCTGGCGGCCACGCCCCCGGCCGGGAGAGCGGAGCAGTGCGCAGGTCCGCGCCGAGACGGTCGGCCACTACACGTAGTTGTCGAGGTGCATGTGGAAGTCGATGAGGCAGGACTGCAGGTGGTGGAGGCCGGGCCGCTCGGCCGGCTCAGTCGCCCAGCAGTAGGCCATGACGGCGAACCTGCCGGACAGGCGGCGGCTGCGTCAGCCCGCCTCTCAGCGCCGCGCGTCGAGCAGGGACCCGCGCTCACTCCGCGCGGCCGAACGAGGCTCGCTGCAAGCTGACCGTTCTCACTTCACCATTCGCCGGACGAGCGTTTATTCCACTGTCGCCAGACGAGGAGCCTCCCTCGTCCTTCCACCGCTTTAAAGTATCACGAATACCGCCGTCCTTTTCAAGGAGTTTGGCTGCATCTTTTACAGAAGTGGCTATGAAAACGGATTTCTCTATCCGTAAAGTTTGTTGCGAAGACCCTGACCCCACCAACCCCGGAGACCAATGCCAACGTAACAGGTAATTTTGTCCGTGCCATTTTAACGTGACGTGCACCATGAAGACACGGCTGCCCCAAGCGAGCCCGGTCCTCTCATGGCCGGTCGTCCGGTGACGAGCGTCTCTGACGGGCCCCACAACCGAGCGCGGCTTCTGGCACGTCCGGTGACGAGCGTCTCTGACGGGCCCCACAACCGAGCGCGGCTTCTGGCACGTCCGGTGACGAGCGTCTCTGACGGGCCCCACAACCGAGCGCGGCTTCTGGCACGTCCGGTGACGAGCGTCTCTGACGGGCCCCACAACCGAGCGCGGCTTCTGGCACGTCCGGTGACGAGCGTCTCTGACGGGCCCCACAACCGAGCGCGGCTTCTGGCACGTCCGGTGACGAGCGTCTCTGACGGGCCCCACAACCGAGCGCGGCTTCTGGCACGTCCGGTGACGAGCGTCTCTGACGGGCCCCACAACCGAGCGCGGCTTCTGGCACGTCCGGTGACGAGCGTCTCTGACGGGCCCCACAACCGAGCGCGGCTTCTGGCACGTCCGGTGACGAGCGTCTCTGACGGGCCCCACAACCGAGCGCGGCTTCTGGCACGTCCGGTGACGAGCGTCTCTGACGGGCCCCACAACCGAGCGCGGCTTCTGGCACGTCCGGTGACGAGTGTCTCTGACGGGCCCCACAACCGAGCGCGGCTTCTGGCACGTCCGGTGACGAGCGTCTCTGACGGCCCCCACAACCGAGCGCGGCTTCTGGCACGTCCGGTGACGAGCGTCTCTGACGGGCCCCACAACCGAGCGCGGCCTCTGGCACGTCCGGTGACGAGCGTCTCTGACGGGCCCCACAACCGAGCGCCGCTTCTGGCACGTCCGGTGACGAGCGTCTCTGACGGGCCCCACAACCGAGCGCGGCTTCTGGCACGTCCGGTGACGAGTGTCTCTGACGGGCCCCACAACCGAGCGCGGCTTCTGGCACGTCCGGTGACGAGCGTCTCTGACGGGCCCCACAACCGAGCGCCGCTTCTGGCACGTCCGGTGACGAGCGTCTCTGACGGGCCCCACAACCGAGCGCGGCTTCTGGCACGTCCGGTGACGAGCGTCTCTGACGGGCCCCACAACCGAGCGCGGCTTCTGGCACGTCAACCAATAGTTCAAGCTCATATCGCTGTGAGCTAACCCGCAGCAAGTCCACGATAGGTCTGCCGCACCAGTGATGCAGTAATCAGAGCCCTGTCCACTGAGTCGCGGGGTCGGCGCGGTGGAACCAAACGGAAGGCAGCGTCGCGTGATCACCCTGCCACGGATTACTGTCAACAAACATACGGCGCTTGACAGGTCCAACCGATCAGACCAAAATATTCAATGTAGACCCCTATCTTGAGCTCCGTATGATGGGACTGTGGAAAACCGGCGATGCACGGTCCTCTGCCCTCCGGGCCAAACACAGATCGAAGCGGCCGGTGTTTTGCCCAAGATTGGCCGGCAGGCCGATCCACCAGTTCCCTTCAGAAAACATTGACAGCGTTATAAGGCTGTTTTGTGTTCCACAGGAAAAGTTGACTGAGGCAACAACCGAGCTCAGAGGTTCTCGAGAGAGAATCTGTGGACTGACTTATACATTTACTGCGACCAACCTAACAGCCGTACTTCTGTATTTTTTGTCAATTCGTTCATACGCTGACCACAGCGCAGGGAGACAAAGCCAGTCTCACCGAACTGAAACTGAATGATTCCACGGTACACATCGCCGGTGATATTTCTTTAACTTCAAAGCATCAGCCCTATTTGATCTGGCTGGACTTTGCATGGTCTGGTCTAATTTCATTCGAACTAATTACATCATTACGCGATATGTCAGCAAACCCAAAAGATAACGTCCTTTAGAATGCATGTTCTACGACACATGCTTGTTAATGGGCATCCGAACGCGACGCGTGGTTAGCGTGACGTCCACACGGAGGTCACCACCCGTCACCCATGACACGGAGGTCACCACCCGTTACCCATGACACGGAGGTCACCACCCATCACCCATGACACGGAGGTCACCACCCGTCACCCATGACACGGAGGTCACCACCCGTCACCCATGACACGGAGGTCACCACCCGTTACCCATGACACGGAGGTCACCACCCATCACCCATGACACGGAGGTCACCACCCGTCACCCATGACACGGAGGTCACCACCCGTCACCCATGACACGGAGGTCACCACCCGTTACCCATGACACGGAGGTCACCACCCGTCACCCATGACACGGAGGTCACCACCCGTCACCCATGACACGGAGGTCACCACCCGTCACCCATGACACGGAGGTCACCACCCGTTACCCATGACACGGAGGTCACCACCCGTCACCCATGACACGGAGGTCACCACCCGTCACCCATGACACGGAGGTCACCACCCGTCACCCATGACACGGAGGTCACCACCCGTCACCCATGACACGGAGGTCACTACCCGCCACCTATGACAAGTGGCGCCCTCCGATGTCGCTGAGGACACAAACACCTTAAAGAACAGGCACCAACAATAACGGCATGATGCCTTTTGAGGTTTCCCGAAAGCCCAAGGGGAGGGTACAGTGAGGGCCCTTGTCCGGAGGGGGTTAAATAGCGCGGCGAGACAACTCACTCCAAAACCACAGGATAAAGCGCACGCCCTGACCTACCAACCGGGGGAATAACCGCTGGCCATTACAGCCGGGGGTAAATGTTTCTTCGGACACCCTACCACAGTGGATAATTAGCATCCGGCCGCGCCAGCTCGTACCAACCTGGAGTCCACACCGCGGTATCTGCTACGCCCCTACACCACATGTGGTTGTCTGTCCCACCCCACCTACTGACGGCCGCCACGCCGCCTCCCGCACCGGCCAGTGTCCGGCTCCGCCAGCGGCCGCACTCACAGCTCGTCCGGGCAGTTGACGGGCTGCGCGAGCCGGTATCCCTCGCGCAGGTAGGCGGCCATCTCGAACGGGTCCACCTCCACGTACGGCTGCTGGCCGAGCGTGGTCAGCTCCCAGAAGAGCACGCCGAACGACCAGAGGTCGGCGGCCGGCGGGAAGCGGCGCTCGGTCAGCGCCTCCAGCGCCAGCCACTTGACCGGCCTGTTCTCGTTGTCGCCCAGGCAGTGGTAGTCGTCGGGGAAGAGGTCGCGCGACAACGCCAGGTCGCACAGCTTCACGCGCAGCTGGTCGTCCACGCTGCCAGGAGGGAGGCGCGCGCGGTCAGCGCCGTCGGCGGGGCGCTGCGGGGCCGGCCAGCTCCCACAGACACCCGGCTGCGACGCCCGCGTTAGGCGAGGCCGGGATGGCGCCTGGGACCGTAACGTAAAGTAAAGCAGCCGCGAGGGCAGCTCAACGCCGGCCAAGGGCGGATGACTTCACTTGACAGCCCCTTGGAAACCGACTGCCTTAGTCCGACACCGCACCAACCCACAAGCACACAGCTCTCACTTCGTTGGCGTAATCGCGACCTCGCACGACCGCTTCTCAACATGTCAGCCACTTCACACCGCCAACGCGGCTCGACAGCAACACGCCCGGCAGGCCACCGCCGAGGTACGTACACGCAGTTGCGGGCGGCGACGTCCCGGTGCACGAGGCCGTTCTGGTGCAGGTGGCTGAGCGCGTTCAGCACCTGGACGGCCATGTGTACCACCTCCTGCGTGAGCAGCGTGCGCGACCACGCCTCCCCGACCGTGCGGCACTGGTGCAGGAAGCTGCGCCGAAGCACGGCTGTCAGTGGGGCGCGGCAGGGAACCACAGGACACGGCTGTCAGTGGGGCGCGGAAGAGCCTCACAGGACACGGCCGTCAGTGGGCCGTCAGTGGGGTCCGAGAAAAGTGAGCTGTTTAACACTGTACAGTTTAATGCAGTCTAACACTGCATTACATAAGAATGGTGGGTCCCCTTTGGCAGTCGGTGTGCATTTACAACAGGCGGTCCGGGAGTCGGTGTGGCGGCAGTCCCCGGCCGGCCAGCACCACCCTTCAGCTCGGTCTCGCGGCAGCCGCTGCGTGCCCGGCCGGAGGCTCACCTCTTGAGGTTGACGCTGGGGTAGTACATGTAGACGATGCGCGGGCGCGAGCCGTCCGCGCCGTCCGACACCACGCCCATGGCCGAGAGCAGGTTGGGGTGCGCCAGTTGCGTCAGGGCGGCCGCCTCGCGCAGCATCAGCGACACCTGGGTGTCGGAGGCCACCTCTGCCGACCGGCCGGCCGACGGCGTCAGGCGCAGCACGCCGCCGGGCATGGGACGGAGCGGGCCGCGGCTGGCAGCGGCGCGTCCAGGCCAGGCCAGCGTGTAGCGATAGTCGGACACGCATCGCTAGTGGCCAGATACGCTGCTCCGCGTCATCGCACACGCTGGCGCACAGGCAGAATAGCAGAATAAACAGAAAAGTACCGAAGAACGGAGTGGCTTTGCTTGGTAGCGACCCGCAGTGCGCGAGCGACGCCCGTTTCTGGACCCACCACTGACACAGCAGAGGCCAACACCGCCGGCTTTGACCGCCGGCGGTCGGTTTGAACAGAGACAGGGCGAGGCTGCCACCGTCCCGTCACACTCACCTGTGGCCATCTTGACGAGCACGGGCAAGTCGTCCTGCTCATCCTTGACCAGGTGACCCTGGCAGATGCGGCCAAACGTGCCCTCCATCAGCGTCCGCTCCACCTCCAGCCGGTCCACGTCCAGCGGCTCCAGCACGGCCGGCGGCGCCGGCGGCAGCGGCTCGCAGGGCGGCGGCGAGTCGACGGAGCGCGCCGGGCTGGCCGGCCGCGGCGGCGCAGTCAACGGCAGAGGCGGCGGCGGCGGCGGAGGCCGCACCGCCTCCACGGACGAGTACTGGCTGGGCGGCGAGCTGCCGGGCCACAGACGCGTCACCACACGACGCACGCCCTCGGAGAGAGCGGCGAGCCGCAGAGGAGCCGTCGGATTCAGTAGCAGTCCAACTTACGACGCATGCATTTACTGTCTGTCAATTTAACTTTGCTACATAATGTTGTGCTGTTGTATTTTCACAAGGGGTTTTATGGTGGCATACCAAGCTCGTACTATGCCGATGTACAGAACATCACACAAAACAGTAGGTAAGCAAAAGATTGCTAGCTTGCAACAAACGTCGTCTTCACGCAAAACAGCACCTCCTGGAAGTGCGTTACTTCACGGCGTGTGGTTCTCCCCGACACAACTTCCCGCTGCCCGCGAGTTTTGCACGGAAGGAAGGCGCGTCGTCAACAACAAGCCAGCTTAACCTCACGAGCCGCCGCCGGTTGTGGGAGGGGGATTCGCGTCCGGTGGGATGACACTCAGTCGCCAGGGGGGGAAAGGACTCCCAGCCGCCGGCGAAGGGGGTGGAAGGGAGGGGACGACTCACGGCCGGTGGGAGGGCTCCCAGACCGCCAGCGGGGGAGGGGGGAGGATACGACTCACGGCCGGCGGGAGGACTCCCAGCCGCCAGCGGGGGGATGTGACTCATGGCCGGTGGGATGACTCCCAGACTGCCAGCGGGGGGGGGGGGGGAGGATACGACTCATGGCCGTTGGGAAGACTCCCAGACCACCAGCGGGGGGACGAGGATACGACTCAGGCCGGTGGGAGGACTCCCAGACCGCCAGCGGGGGGGATGACTCACGACCGGTAGGAGGACTCCCAGACCGCCAGGGGGGGGGGGGGGGTACGACTCACGGCCGGTGGGAGGACTCCCAGCCGCCAGCGGGGGAAGGACTCCCAGCCGCCAGCGAATGGGGTCAAAGGGAGGGGGACGACTCACGGCCGGTGGGAGGACTCCCAGACCGCCAGCGGGAGGATGACTCACGGCCGGTGGGAGGACTCCCAGCCGCCGGCGGGGGGGGGGGGGGGACGACTCACGGCCGGTGGGAGGACTCCCAGCCGCGGCTGCAGTAGGCGATGCCGACACCGGTGCCCACAGCCACCACCAGCAGCGCGCCGAGCGCAGCCAGTCCCACGTAGAAGGTGGCCGCCGAGCCGAACCCGTCCTGCTGCGTCATCACCACGATGTCCGCCTCCAGCGCCGAGCGCTCTGTCACGCCAGAGGGTCACGGTACAGGTCAACCCTCGAGGCAGAATGCGGGCGCGGCCAGGGCTCGTGCTCCGAGACAGTCGTCGCCACCACTCTTAATCGAACAAAGGACATTGCCTGAAGGGGCGTTAGCCATGTTGATGTGGCACAGCGATTTGGACATCGTAAATGTATTATCGTCACCGGCCGCAGCCGAAGCCAGAGCGCTACTGAGGCCTCAGCACGTGCCAGCAGCCGCCTAACGACCAGCTGCCGGTTGGCCGGGTCGGTCGGGGTCGGCGGGGGGCCGGCAGGCGGCTCCTGTCCGTCCGTCCATCACACGCGACCATCCGCCGTCGCGCCTCACCGGTGCAGTGCTTCCGCCGGCGCAAGTTGATGCTGGTCACCCTGCTGGACGACATGACGTCCAGCTTGATGACGAACTCGGCCGGCGCGGCAGCCACCGCCGCCGGGTCGAGCGAGCAGGCCAGGCTCAGGCGGAACTGGCCCAAGCGCCGCGGGATGGTGCCTGCCAGCCGAACGCACCGTCAGCGACACGGCTACGCACAGGAGGGGTAACGTTGCGACCGCAGGCTGGCTCAGGATGGTCGCACGCATAGTTAGCGGATGAACGGCACTTCGACACTAGCTGCGTAACGCACCTCGCTACACACGTTCGTCAGTGTTCGGGTAGTCGGTAGCCGCAGTTTGCTGCTGAAGCACTGTCTCACCTGTGTGTGGAATGTCAAATGCCAGTGAGCGCAGCTTGTTCTCACTGCCTGGAAGGGGGTGGCTGACGATGGCGTACGTCACCTGCAGTGGATGGCACCACCTCCATTAGGCCATACCCTGCAGCAGCTGCCATCAGCTAGCCAAATCCACAGATCTGAATTTGACCATGGCAGTACCCTTGGTGTGTGGCCATGAAAATCACATGTGTAGCTCTACACTTCCCAAACTGTCAGAGATAACTAAACCATACACAACATGGCCTTTAGTCAAATAGAGTAGCTTCATCAGCTGGAATCACTGCAAATTTGTTAACACCACATCTCCCACGCAGACTGCTCTACATACTGACTTACGTTTTCCAGGTCCCTAGCCCTCCAGGAAAATGTTAAACTGTTCATCTCATATGGCACCTGGAAGTTGTATGCCACTGTATTATGATTGACGTTTCCGTTTTCCACGTAGAAGAAGTTGCCTGGCCACCCAACCACTGTGAAAAGGACAGTGGTATTTAAACCCAGCACAAGCAAGGCATGGTCTTCCATGACAATTATGAGGATGTTGCAGAGTCATGGGTTATCACCACATTCAAGTTGGAGTCATACAACACTAAATGTCTATTCCAGACAAATAGGCAGAAAATGCAGCATGGGTCCATCTCACAAATACAATTATGTGCAATACCCAATGTCATTATTGGGTATTGGACAGCCACTTTAGCTATGTAGCTATCTAGATACCTAGCAAATAATTTTAAATGATTGACATGTTTATACAATGTTGTGATCTTAAGCAGCTTGGAACAAACAGCATCTAGTTTGAAATACAAAATATATCATTGATGTACAGAGCTGGCATGATCACAATGTAGCTGTATTTCATCACACATGCACTTACCATCCATTTTTCTGACTTCATCTTGTGACAGAAAGAAGTCAAATGAGCTGTGGACTGAGGCTAGGATGGAAAGGCTAACCACAAAAAGAAGAGGCTCAGTCATATTGATGACATACTTTCAGCACCAAAAAGGACCAATGTGGTCTATGCACTTGATCCTGTGCTGGGCCTCTATAGTTTTGACCCATAGGTAAAAATCCTGAAATGAGAGCAAACAGCAGTGCTAGTAACAGCAGACTTACTAAATGATGATACAGAACAGCAGAAGATGACAAAAGACCCACCAATGACTACCTAAGCTCTACCGACAATCAATGATCTGTAAGGGAGCATCATCAGTTAATTATTCACTGGCTATCTCTGAGGTATGCAGCTGGCACCATTCCAGACTAGTAAAAATGCATGCCACCCGAAAATGTCTGATGGACAGCAAAACAGCCAATCATTATGGTGCTGCACATGTCTGCTGTATGGATCTGTGTATTCAGTTTGGCACACTAACCACCATTTTCAATGCAGATACGCATTTTTTGAGAGGTATGATGTTGCAAATATAATTTCAGACAACAATTCTCTGAAATGCTGCACACAGAACATCGACATTGTGCTCTGGGCATCATGGCAGCACATGACGAGACGATAAAAAATGCTGTCACTCAATGCTGAAAAAGTTTATTGTTATGCATACAATATTTAGGGGCACAAACCCCTTTAAGGGAAATTCCCTGGATGCAGCAATGTCATTCAACTATAATATCCCTCATGGCAATTCTGTTGATGCATGCAAAGTTTAGGTGCCCAATGGTTACTGTCAAAACATACTATCTGCCCCAAAACAGCTTGTTGACATGTTTGCCATGGTTTGCAGACTGGGTAAAAGCTAGATAGAGCTGGTGTAAGTTTGATGTCAGCCATATACCCCCTTCTCTGTCTGAGCAGAGTGATCCATGGTCCCATCCTGGATAACAGAAGTGACTGTAATGTTGCAAGGGCCCTGTCAGGGACAACTCTGCACAACATTCATCCACTGCAAAAAAGGCCTATAAAAATGGGTGTGCTCAACACAGCACTTGTAAGCACAAAACTCAGGTCAAGCTGAACTGGGTTCAATTTTTATACTAGTGTAGTATGAAAAGCCTATAAAGAGCATGTTCGCCTGAATTCACCCTTGCAAGATTAGCTCTACACATTGTAATTAACTGTGACTGTGCACTGAAATCTGAGGGCTCAGATTTACGGTGTACATTCACTGGAATTGTTGCCGCAATGTCGCTGCTACGCCTAACATGTTCGACGTAACGTGTATTTTTTGCAGCCTGGTCAAGAGTCCCAACAAACCCCTCTGACCTGTGTAGGGTACCCATGCCCCACATTGCCCCCCCTCCCTTCCGACAGCAACATGTCAGTTCGTAACAAAATATGAAATATAAAGCAACTAACCAGCTGTGTTCCACCACGACCTCTGAACCTGGCACACGCCTCTCACACTCTCCTCCCCGCTCCCCCGCTTCGACTGATGTATATTACACCGTGCGTTTGAGGAACTGCTCAAACATAAGCAGTTAAGGCGACAGATCTGACGCATCTCGTTCCTCAACGCAGCTGATATTGGTGCAGCCAAAAAATGTCCCTGAAATGTTGTGAGGTCATAAGAAATAAAATGTAATATTTCGTACATCATACACTATTTGATCATTTTAAAAACCAAGTTTGTTCCAATTATATTTCAAAAATGTGTTATTGCGTATTTTAGTATTTATCAGCTAAAAAGGCTTAATTTTCCTGTAGTCTACCATTAACGTCAGAGTTTCAGGCTCAGTTTCTCCCAACGATGGGTGTTATTGCTCGCGCCATTTCAGCAGTGTTTTTTTTTTTGACGTGAGAAGTTTACACACGAGCCGCGAGGGGGGCCGTATGTGAGAGCGGCTCTGTGGTGTTGAGGTAAATGGCATTGGGCGTAGCATATTATTCCACCTGCGAAAGGTATCCAGTTTTTAAGAAAAGCGTAGGATTTTTTAGGGAGGTGTCATTTGTTTGAACCTCTGGAGCAGCAACAATTTCAATCCATGTACGCCATAAATCCGGTCGCTCATTGGCACACGGTTCCCACCAATTTCAGCACGTTTTTTCACATCAGATGGTTTTCTGGCTCCAACGCCAGCACTTCACAGACAAAGGGTAGCATCCTTTTTACCTGTTGTGAACCATTATGCATGCTCAATGAATTGTGCATTTGTTTTCAGCTGAAGGGTGGCAAGCATCATGGGAGATACTGAAAAAGTTGATCTCAACAGCCTTGTGAAGGTCCGGGAGGCATTATACCGGCTTATCATTAGGTATGTCAAGTATGAAATCCCAAGAGTATTGATGATCAGTGTGAGCAATAGAGGCCTGCTTTTTCTGGCAGCATATGCTTCCAGTTTTTGTGCTGTCACTTTGTTGTGGTAATGCAGCTGAGAACACCAATTTTGGGTTTGCTGTTTTATATTGGGGGAGGGCTTTACCTGTATGCAATGTGCAACATGACATGAGTACCTATCATTGTTTTAACAGCTGAGTTAGAAGCATACTGCCTTTTGGAAAATGCATTAGTTTCCCAACAAACTGAAGTTATCAGGCTTAGCCTGTCAAAGGCTGTAACCCATGTATCCCCTGTTAGTGAAATGTTTGAAGATTTGACATTGTACTCTAAATAATATGTGCATTATAAGATGTAAATTTAAGTCCTCTAAAATGGGAAATGCTGTTGTGGACAGCATCTGGTTCAAACAACTGCTGATTTCGGGATATGCTGATGTTGTGTCATGCATAGGTTAGAAGTTTGTATTGATGCATATACAGATGTTCTCAAGGCTTTGACCTTTTGATGGGCATAGAAAGCAAATATACTGGAGTAGTGATGGCATTCATCATCAAGCAATGACTTTACAGTTCTGACTCTGCAGTCAGCCTCAGCTGCTGCATGGATGGGAACTAATATGTGGCAGATCTCATCATAGAAAGTGTTCAGTGTTGCTTGTTAACCTACCTTATGGTTCACAGTCAGCTGTACTATGATGGCCAGCAAACGCTTGCCTCAAGCATGCACCAGACCATACACCCAGACCCGCCCTGTCCTCCGTCGGACCGGCTGTTCCGGCTTGTCCTGCTGGGGCTCCAGAAAGAGAAGGGTGAGCAGGCTGGATGTGAAACATGTTGGGATGCTGGGCTTCTTCTGTGTGTTTCCTTCACTGGAATTTTGTGGTGTGTTGGAGGATTGTCATGAAGGCTTGTTTTGCCAAACTCCGAGGCTTCCACCTGCTAGCATCTACACTGTTGACAAAAGTTTCAGAGCAATGATAGTATATTTCAGATGGCAAGGTCATGGAATGATGGCTCTTCTGCTTTGTTGTCATTGCTTGGATCCACTTTGAACTCAGATGCATGTGATCGGCACCCACATTGCCTGCACTTGCAGCCTATCACTTTTGGCCACGTCGTAAGACCCCAGAAACTGCATCACGAGTGTGGCAGCTCCGCACCAACCATGGATGCCTCGCTGGGGTCCTCACCTGCGAACCTCGCGGCCGCCGCGGCGCGCGCGCGCGTCACACCGGTGCGGCCGCTGACCCGGCGTGACCTCCGGCCAGAGGCGAGCGACGAGCGCGGCCAGCCGGAGGACCAGTTCACGGCCGGCCTCGACCTCGAGTTCGAGTCGGACATGCCGTCCGTGGCGCCAGAGCCGGCCGCCTACGAGACGTGCTACGTGACCTCACACAAGGGGGCCTGCCGCTCGGCCTGCTTCTCGCCCGACGGCCAACTCGTCGCCACCGGCAGCGTGGACGCCAGCATCAAGGTAGGCCAGTCAGGGTCAGCGGCGGGGAGCGGCGGGTCGGCCAGGTGCTGTTGGGTCGTCGTCATAGTGCGACGGACTGCGGTCTTGGTGCTGGCCGGCCCTGGAGTGCGGCGGGCGGGATCGGCACTGCTGGGCCGACACCAAGACGTGGCCGGCTAGGGCCGTGATGCTCAAGCGCCAGGGGAAGGGCAGTGTTGGTGCTAGGCTCCAGCTTCTTCTGACTGGGGGCGTGCGGTCAGAGCTTTGCTGATGCCAGCCGTGGGTGCGCTCCGCGGGTCAACTGTGCGGTGCTCGGGGAGATTGGCATTACACCAGTATCGTCCCGAGTGGAACGTCACTGAACGCACGTCAGTTTGCCAAGTGGCGCATGCACGTGGTGAGCACTGCAGACTGGTGCCGGCAAAGATTTAGCCAAACAAACTGCGGGGTCAGTTTGAACAAAGTAAGCAGGAGCTTGGAAATACCGGTGCATACCGCCGACTCAATGGCACGTGTATGTATTTCATTGCGTTCAAGAGATAGATCGGTTGTACCATGTTTGTACAAATGGGCGATGCCTGTTCGCATGGTCCAAAGCCTGTGTTCCTCCCATCTAGGACATTCCAAGCGCCAGCAGCCACGTGACTCAGTCCTCTCGTCACCCGCGACATGCGCCCGTCCCCCCGACAGATTATCGACGTGGACCGCATGCTGGCCAAGAAGGCGCACGAACACGGCGACGGGGACTCGGCCGGCCACCACCCGGTCATCAAGACACTGTACGACCACGTGGACGAGGTGACCTGCCTCGAGTTCCACCCACGCTTGCCGCTGCTGGCCTCGGGCTCCCGCGACACCAACATCAAGATCTTCGAGTACAGCAAGTCGTCCGTCAAGAAGGCCACCAGTGTAATCTCGGTACGCGATTGTGAGGATGTTGCTTACACGAGGCTCTTGTGTGGTGATCACAGGTGTCGGCTGGATGTGTGATAACGTTCGGGCCTGCATGCCGTTGTACCATTGCGTGGTGGTACGTTACAACGCAGAGATCAGCACGGCAGCATAGGCAACGGGGCATGCTCGAACTTATGACGTCAGTGCCCGCATCTGCCACTGGCCGGTGGCAAGCAGCGAGCTGTTCTTCTATCCAGTGTTCCCGTCACTCACGGAGGCCGGAACGTACCGGGCTGATGTCGCCGCCCGGCGCGTCATCCAGCGCGTGCTGTGCGCACGGCTGGAGCCGACGTGTGCCGCGTGCCATGCGCACGGCTGGAGCCGACGTGTGCCGTGTGCCATGCGCACGGCTGGAGCCGACGTGTGCCGCGTGCCATGCGCACGGCTGGAGCCGACGTGTGCCGCGTGCCATGCGCACGGCTGGAACCGACGTGTGCCGCGTGCCATGCGCACGGCTGGAGCCGACGTGTGCCGCGTGCCATGCGCACGGCTGGAGCCGACGTGTGCCGCGTGCCATGCGCACGGCTGGAGCCGACGCGTGCCACGCGCCATGCGCACGGTTGGAGCCGACGTGTGCCGCGTGCCATGCGCACGGCTGGAACCGACGTGTGCCGCGTGCCGTCAGGACGCCATTCCGGTGCGCTGCTTCAGCTTCCACCCCACCGGCGACTACCTGGTAGTGGGCACCGACCAGCCCGCCGTGCGCGTCTACGACGTCAGCACCGCCCAGTGCTACGTCAACCCCTTCGTCAAGCAGCATCACACCAACCGCATCACGTCCACACAGTACGGCTGATGCGCGGCGAGGGCAGGGCTGCAATGCGCGGAGCGAGCCTCGTGCGTCGGTGAATAGCCCGGCAGTGATGTCACATGCTGCTCGTCGAAGAGCGCACAGCGAGAGCGTAGTGTCTCTCTAGTCTTCGACTGCCGTCAGTCTGTCAGGTGTGAACGTGCGGGACCAGGGGGGTGGTTGGACCACACTCGCGCAGTGTCCAGGCGAACCGAGACGACGAACTGAGCGTGTCCGGTGACCTAAGTTGGGACTGCGTCACAGATGGTCTCCAGACGCGCGGGTATACGTCACCGGCTCCAACGACGGCACCATCAAGATCTGGGACGGCGTGTCCAGCCGGTGCGTCAACACCTTCAGCAAGGCGCATGACGGCGCGGGGATCTCCTCCGTCGTGTTCTCCAAGAACGGCAAGGTGAGGTGGGCGGGCGGTGGCGGCGCGCGGGGCCGGTCCAGACCGTGGACATCTGGCCGCACATGCTCTCCGGTATCCTGTCACACGCGTGGCGCTCCGTTTCTGGGCCGACGTTTGCCGGTGTGTCCCGTGATGGTCGGCCGCGTGCCGCGCCGGGGCCGGGAGGCTCCCTCTGACCATGTGCTCTTGATGCTGCAGTACGTGCTGTCGTCGGGCAAGGACTCGATGGTGAAGTTGTGGGAGCTCTCCACCAGCCGGTGTCTGATCGCCTACACCGGAGCCGGCACCATCGGTAAGCTAAACCCCCGCTGGGGGCGGCCGATGCGCCATCGCGGCAGCGTCGCCTCGGGCGCGCCGGGCGCGGATCGCCGGAGGCGGTGGGACCGCTGCGGGATGGTCTCCACAACATATCGCGCCACGCGTGCGTAGTACCTGTGTGTTCAGGATATAAACAGAGGACGCAAGGCAGTCATCTTAACCTGTGACACTCGGCTGGTCGTGTGGAATGATCGACGCTGACGACCTGCTGACGCTGCCATGGCACTGTTCGGCATAAGCTTTAAAGCTTGCGTAGTGGCCTGTGGCTTGTTGGCGAGTGATTTTTGTGGGTGCGTCGGTTGCTAGCAGGCCATCCATTTATCCACAATGTACGAGCGTCCACATGTGGCCGTCAGGTAAGCAGTATCACAAGAGTCGGGCCATCTTCAACCACACGGAGGACTACGTCATGCTGCCGGACGAGGTCACCAAGAGCCTCTGCACGTGGGACTCGAGGAACGCCTCCCGCAAACAACTGATGTCGCTCTGTGAGTGCTGGCGTGGGTCCGGCCGCGGGCCGGCTGCCGGTCGGAGACCGCATCTCGCACCTCAGCACCACCGCAGCAGCGCCGCTCGTGCTACGCTTGCGCACGCGTCGGCAAAATCGAAACTTTTTTCGTTAACATCTGTCTTGATATTTGGCTCCAAGGCTCGAGCGGTTTCGGTATCTATATCAGTACATGGCTCCGAGACTGCAGTGGTTTCGGTCGTGCTCGCCGGGCTTCTCGGGCGCGCCGGGTCCCTCAGGTGCCGGGAGCGTGCTCTCGGGGGTCCGTTCCTCCTCCGCTGCCCCTAGCGAGGCGATGTAAGGCGAGTCGGGAGGGCAGTCAGATCCGCTGTGCGCTCTGGGCTGGTCGTCACGTGTACGCGTGGCCTCGAGTGTGGGCGATTAGCCGCTGTGTCCTTCTGTCCGTTCCTAGTTGCCACAGCAGCGTAGCCACGGAATGGTGGCTGGTGCTCTCTCATGCGACTATGACCGACCGGCACTGCCCGCTGATGGCCGTGGCGCGCCGCGATCTGTGATGGCGCGCTGCGGCCTGATGACGAGCTTCGATCTGTGATGGCGTGCTGCGGCCCGTGATGGCGCGCTACGGTCTGTGATGGCGCGCTGCGGCCTGATGGCGCGCTGCGGCCCTTGATGGCGCGCTGCGGCCTGTGATGGCGCGTGCTGCTGTGACCCGCAGGTCACAACTCGCCGGTGCGCCACATCATCCACTCGCCCATCACGTCCGCCTTCATGAGCTGCTCGGACGACTTCCGAGCCCGGTTCTGGGTGCGCCGCACGGCCACCCACTGAGCGGCGGGCCGTCACTCCGGCCTCCAGTGACGCCAGTGTGAGTCACTGACCTGGTGACCAGGTGCAGTGACCGGGGAGCCGTCTGGACAAGCGGTGGGGTCAGGTACTCGGCTGTCGGGAGAGGGGAGGGCGTGGCTGACCCCGAGGTCACGCCTGTGGTCGACCGCAGTTGACCTCACTCGCGCGTGACCTCAGGTCAGGTGCCCGGTCAGGCGACGAGCGGGCGTCGCCGCGACCCCGGCCGGCATCGGCGTCCCGTCCGCCCGCGGCTCTCACCAGGTCCAGGGGCAAGGCGATGCTCGACCTTATCGATGCCTCGCACGGTAGCGTCCGCTGCGGCATGATGTAACGTCTTCATCGTTGTGTATCGGAACCAAGGTATGCCCTTGCGGCAGGGCTCGCTGCGGCGTAGGAGTGCGTGATACTGGGTCTGCCGGTGCCTGTGTGCTTGTGCCGCTTGGTGTCAGGAGATCCTCGTCATTACAAGCATCTTCATTGTCAATACACAATGTCATCATGATGTGTGCGTCTTTGTTTAAATATCCGCATAACACCTGTACATAACAAGTTACAAACCACAGCAGTGCGATCGGCACACCGGGCGTGCGGAGCGGCCGGCGCCGGTCCAGACCCGCACGCTGGCCCGCCCCGCCCCCGCCGCATAACAGTCTCATGTTGGCCCCTGAGGGTCGGTCCGCCGGCCCGCGGCCGCCGCCGCCGCCGGCTGACCCGCGCCACTAGAACATGCCCCCGCGCTGTTTGCGGTCGGCGCCGCGCCGGTGCTGGGCCGACTTGTTCTCGGTCTTGCGGCGCCGGTTCTGTAGCACCTGCTTGTCCTGGCCCTGGCCACGGGGCCTCCCTGCAATATGTAGACCCGAGCCGATTAGAACGCGGGGTCAGGTCTTGCGGCGCCGGTCCTGTAGCACCTGCTTGTCCTGGCCCTGGCCACGGGGCCTCCCTGCAATATGTAGACCCGAGCCGATTAGAACGCGGGGTCAGGTCTTGCGGCGCCGGTCCTGTAGCACCTGCTTGTCCTGGCCCTGGCCACGGGGCCTCCCTGCAATATGTAGACCCGAGCCGATTAGAACGCGGGGTCAGGTCTTGCGGCGCCGGTCCTGTAGCACCTGCTTGTCCTGGCCCTGGCCACGGGGCCTCCCTGCAATATGTGGACCCGAGCCGATTAGAACGCGGGGTCAGGTCTTGCGGCGCCGGTCCTGTAGCACCTGCTTGTCCTGGCCCTGGCCACGGGGCCTCCCTGCAATATGTAGACCCGAGCCGATTAGAACGCGGGGTCAGGTCTTGCGGCGCCGGTCCTGTAGCACCTGCTTGTCCTGGCCCTGGCCACGGGGCCTCCCTGCAATATGTAGACCCGAGCCGATTAGAACGCGGGGTCAGGTCTTGCGGCGCCGGTCCTGTAGCACCTGCTTGTCCTGGCCCTGGCCACGGGGCCTCCCTGCAATATGTGGACCCGAGCCGATTAGAACGCGGGGTCAGGTCTTGCGGCGCCGGTCCTGTAGCACCTGCTTGTCCTGGCCCTGGCCACGGGGCCTCCCTGCAATATGTAGACCCGAGCCGATTAGAACGCGGGGTCAGGTCTTGCGGCGCCGGTCCTGTAGCACCTGCTTGTCCTGGCCCTGGCCACGGGGCCTCCCTGCAATATGTGGACCCGAGCCGATTAGAACGCGGGGTCAGGTCTTGCGGCGCCGGTCCTGTAGCACCTGCTTGTCCTGGCCCTGGCCACGGGGCCTCCCTGCAATATGTGGACCCGAGCCGATTAGAACGCGGGGTCAGGTCTTGCGGCGCCGGTCCTGTAGCACCTGCTTGTCCTGGCCCTGGCCACGGGGCCTCCCTGCAATATGTGGACCCGAGCCGATTAGAACGCGGGGTCAGGTCTTGCGGCGCCGGTCCTGTAGCACCTGCTTGTCCTGGCCCTGGCCACGGGGCCTCCCTGCAATATGTGGACCCGAGCCGATTAGAACGCGGGGTCAGGTCTTGCGGCGCCGGTCCTGTAGCACCTGCTTGTCCTGGCCCTGGCCACGGGGCCTCCCTGCAATATGTGGACCCGAGCCGATTAGAACGTGGGGTCAGGTCTTGCGGCGCCGGTCCTGTAGCACCTGCTTGTCCTGGCCCTGGCCACGGGGCCTCCCTGCAATATGTAGACCCGAGCCGATTAGAACGTGGGGTCAGGTCTTGCGGCGCCGGTCCTGTAGCACCTGCTTGTCCTGGCCCTGGCCACGGGGCCTCCCTGCAATATGTGGACCCGAGCCGATTAGAACGCGGGGTCAGGTCTTGCGGCGCCGGTCCTGTAGCACCTGCTTGTCCTGGCCCTGGCCACGGGGCCTCCCTGCAATATGTGGACCCGAGCCGATTAGAACGCGGGGGTCAGGTCTTGCGGCGCCGGTCCTGTAGCACCTGCTTGTCCTGGCCCTGGCCACGGGGCCTCCCTGCAATATGTAGACCCGAGCCGATTAGAACGTGGGGTCAGGTCTTGCGGCGCCGGTCCTGTAGCACCTGCTTGTCCTGGCCCTGGCCACGGGGCCTCCCTGCAATATGTAGACCCGAGCCGATTAGAACGCGGGGTCAGGTCTTGCGGCGCCGGTCCTGTAGCACCTGCTTGTCCTGGCCCTGGCCACGGGGCCTCCCTGCAATATGTAGACCCGAGCCGATTAGAACGCGGGGTCAGGTCTTGCGGCGCCGGTCCTGTAGCACCTGCTTGTCCTGGCCCTGGCCACGGGGCCTCCCTGCAATATGTGGACCCGAGCCGATTAGAACGCGGGGTCAGGTCTTGCGGCGCCGGTCCTGTAGCACCTGCTTGTCCTGGCCCTGGCCACGGGGCCTCCCTGCAATATGTAGACCCGAGCCGATTAGAACGCAGGGTCAGGTCTTGCGGCGCCGGTCCTGTAGCACCTGCTTGTCCTGGCCCTGGCCACGGGGCCTCCCTGCAATATGTGGACCCGAGCCGATTAGAACGCGGGGTCAGGTCTTGCGGCGCCGGTCCTGTAGCACCTGCTTGTCCTGGCCCTGGCCACGGGGCCTCCCTGCAATATGTAGACCCGAGCCGATTAGAACGCGGGGTCAGGTCTTGCGGCGCCGGTCCTGTAGCACCTGCTTGTCCTGGCCCTGGCCACGGGGCCTCCCTGCAATATGTGGACCCGAGCCGATTAGAACGCGGGGTCAGGTCTTGCGGCGCCGGTCCTGTAGCACCTGCTTGTCCTGGCCCTGGCCACGGGGCCTCCCTGCAATATGTGGACCCGAGCCGATTAGAACGCGGGGTCAGGTCTTGCGGCGCCGGTCCTGTAGCACCTGCTTGTCCTGGCCCTGGCCACGGGGCCTCCCTGCAATATGTAGACCCGAGCCGATTAGAACGCAGGGTCAGGTCTTGCGGCGCCGGTCCTGTAGCACCTTGCCGCCGACCCAGAGGTCACTCCCCCCACCGTCCCCTCAGGGGGTGGTGAGGACGGCGGGCTGTCGGGCCGGCCGGGAGGCTGTGGGAGTCATCGGCGTTGGCCACAGCTCTGTCGGGATGTTTCGCATGGGACGTGCGCCCGCGCGTTAGTTCAGCCCGGGCTCGGTCGCCTGCGCCATCTATCGCGTTTGCCAGCAGGCGGGACCTCTCTCGCCTGACAATGCCGTGCCGCGCAGTCACCGCAGGTCCAACAATGCCGCTCACGCTGTACTGAGGTTAGCGTCGACCCTGCCGGGAGACTGAATGTAGCCAACGCCACACCCCGCAAGGAAGGTGCCCCTGTCGAGCTACACCCGTCACGGTCCTCAGGCGGGCTATAACATTCACCAGTCCCGTCCCTATGTGGGACTACTCGCCCCCTCCCCCCATCCGCCACGCCTCTGTTAGGCTACACCCCTCACCCGTCACGTCCATCTGTAAGAATCCCTCATCCGTCACGTCCCTCTGTCAGGCTACACCCCTCACGCGCCATGTCCCTTTATAACGCTACACCCCTCACCCGCCACGTCCCTCTGCAAGCACCCCTAACCCGTCACGTCCCTCTATAAGGTTACATCCCTCACCTGTCGTGTCCCTCTGTAAGGCTACACCTCTCACCCCTCCGTTCCTCTGCTCAGCCACACTTCTCACCCGTGACGTCTCGCTCTGGCGGCGGTCCCTGGCGCCGGCCGCCGCGACCGCGCTGCTGCTGCTGCTGCTGCCGCCGCGCCTCCTGGCGGGCGCGCACCTCCTCCGGGTTGGCTACGAACTGGTCGCGCCGCGGTCCGGTCTCGTCCTCTCCGTCCTCGTCCGGCTGGTCGCGGCGCCGCCAGCGCGAGCTCGGCAGCGCCTGGTTCAGCGGGACTGGAGCGCCGCTGTGGGAGAGGAGGCGTACGTAAGCGGTGACGGACCGGCTGCCGGGCGGACTCACGCTCTCGCGGCGGAGTCCGCGCGGTCCCCGCTGGTCTCCGGACGTCGCAACTGTGTCGTTACCCCAGCCACCTACCGCGATCGCTTCCCGAGCATAGAGAGTTCCACGGTCTCGCGTCCACCGTAGCTATCTCAGGGCCGTATTAGCGGCGTCCTCTCTTCCCCCACCCCCGGCCGCACCCGTCGTCTCTAATCTGCACCGCAGACTCCTGTTCCTGTCCTGGCGCTCCCCTGCACGCCGCACCTGTCGACCTCGGTCTCTTCCTTGGGCTCCTCTTGGCCGGTGGACACGCCGTCGTACGTGTCGTCGTACTCGTCCTCGTACTGCGCCGCCTCGTACACGCTGCCGTCGGCCGAGAGCGAGCCGAACAACTCGTACCGCTCGCGCAGGCCGCTCTCGCGCAGCGCCGACTTGTCCGCCAGCTCGCGCGCCAGTCGCGCCGTCGTCAGCCTGCGACAGGCGTCGGTGGCCGTCACGCGCACCGCCTGACAAAAGGCAGACACTATGGGGCTGGGCTGGGTCGGGATGTCCGGCTGCACTGTAGTGGGCTGGGCTAGGCTGGGTGACGGGCACCGCAGGAATAGGTGTGCCCGACGGGACTGGGCGATGCAGGTCGCGAAGGACAGCGTGGACTACCACACCGGCCAGGCCTGGGAGTGAGTGAAGATCAGCGGAGAATGCACGAGTCAAACAAGGGCGGTCGATAACTCATGTTGGGATGGATGGTGTGCCGGACATGGACAGGTTCTGTGCTAGACGGGGGCGCGCTCCCTCACGCCGAACGGCTGCAGTATCAGCGTGGGCGCCGCCAGGTCCAAGCGCACAGCAGGAACCATCCGACACCAAACACGCCCAGGCGAGGACCTGGCCAAGTGCGGTGAGTGGCACACAGAGTAGCCTGGATCCAGCGCACGGGAACACAACGGCGCACGGGGCAGCAGCCAGTGCGGGGCCGCTTCAGATAATCACACAGAGAACGGGTTCCTAGCGCATGTCAGCCACGGCGCGCGTGCAACCATGGAAACCGCAGAGACCGGCGAAGCTTACCAAGCTGTGCAAGAGCTACCAACAGGAAGCCACCCGTGCGCGAGTGTCGTATCGGCCGGACGTGACCGGTGCGCACCCGCGGCCCCCCTGCCCAGCGCAGCGGGGCCACGGCTGCGGGCGGGTCGCACGCACCGTTTGCCGCGGTGGAAGCAGCTCAGGTCCACGTCGTCGCGCGTCATCACGTCGTACTCGTCGCCGTCGTAGACGTTGCGGCGCGACGCCAGTACGTTGTGAAGCGGGCGGGCGGCGGCCGGCGCCGGCGCAGAGACCGGCGCCGGCGGGGGGACGGCCGGCGGGGCGACCGGCGCCGCCGGCGGGGCGGCAGGCGGCGGCTGCTCCTTGGTCCGGTCGAGGGCGGCCAGCGACGCCGGCAGCGACTCCTCCAGCAGCGCGTTGATCACCAGCTCGGAGCTGTAGTTGTAGTGCTCCAGGCACGCCTGCCGAGCACGTGGTCGCGAGCACAGTCGGCACGGATCCAGATATGGCAGCCAGTCATCACGAGCCTACGCACAGTCGGCTACTGACAGCAGGGCAGCCTTGGTGCGCTTTCAGTATGCATGCAAGAACGTGTTGTGATTCTTCGTGCCAAACAAACTGCGTAACGATTGGTTGGACGCCAGTGCGATCAGCAAGTGTTAACACAACATCCTACTAGAATCCCACATGCAAGGCGACTGAATGCGAGTCCCACCAGTCCCCCTCCCCCACACAAGCACACTTGTTACCTCCTCACCATTTACTAGTCACAGCCACATTCAGAAGCGTCGTCCTGCAACTGCAACCCCCAAGTGGCCGTCGGCCGCCGCCAGCAGCGCGCTCACCGTGACGAAGCTGTAGCTGAGGTCGGGCAGCAGGTCGCGCACGTGCGACACCATCGAGTCCAGCTCGACACCGGTAACGGCCGGCCCGGCCTGGGCGCCGGCCGGGCCGGGGTCGTGCTCGCCCGGCTCCGACTGCGGCGGCGCGGCAGGCTCCGGCTCCGGTGCCGCGGCCGGAGACCGGCCGGCCGGCGCCGCGCCCAGCACCGCGTCCACCACGTAGTCGAGCCGCGCCGGATCTCTGGGCGCGCGGTCAAGGAGACGGCCACAAAGCCCGCGAAGGGAGCCGAGTCGGCGGAGGAGGGACTCCTGGGCCACGGACACGCTGCTGTGCGGGACTGCGCATCGACCATTCACGTAGAATCACCCCGAAGCCCAAGGATGCACACAGCCGGGGCTGATCTACCCCTCCACATGTACATGCTGATGACCTGGGGCATGAGGTGACAGAGTTCAGCTACGTTCATGAAATACCATGTATCTGTCTTCGCCCAGTGATGAGTGCACGCTGTGGGCGCCCGGCACGGTCCGGGCGCCGGCGGTCGGCAGCGCCAGCCTCCTGACATCAGCATCAGCCCGAGCAAGGATACAGGTCCGGACAGCCGCGGCGCACGGTCTCCACGTCGTCGCCGATGGCGTACTGCAGGTGGTAGTCAGCCATGAAATGCTGCTCCGCCAGACACTCGGTCATCACCTCCAGGAACTGCTCGCCGCGCGCCTGCAGCCGCTCCCTGTCGCAGACGCGGTGGCGCTGTCGGACGGGCGTACACCGGCGGGCCGCGGCAGGCGCCCGGTACAACCTCCTGTACGCGTATGATCTGGCACGCGCTCAGCATCGCCGTCGCGGTACATGCGTACGGTATTGTAGACCAATGCTTGAATCAGAAAAGCCTGCCGTTTATTGAACCGCAGACAATCTCAATAAGACCTGTGTTGCACCTATTTTCAGCTCTCGTTCGCACAACAGTGATTTGCAGCCTAAATTCTAGGGAATCCGAACAAGAGCCAAGACAAAGCGACTAAAAGCCGCTCAATCCAGATCCAACTGTCACAGCTCGTCAGTCTGTCGCCGTCGCGTCCACACGCTCGGCGGCGACGCACCTGGCCCGGCCCGTCGGCTCCTCCTCTCGGAGCGGCCTCAGGCAGCAGTGGTCCACCAAGCGGCGGAACACGGAGACGAGCGAGACGCGAGCCAGCTGCAGGTGGCGCCGCACCACGTCCGCCGCCGGAAACGCGTCTTCTGGCCCGGCTTCCAGGCACCGCCACAGTCGTGGAATCACCGTGTCATAGAAAGACGCTAGTCTGCCGTGGTAAGGGCAAAGTCTGATTTTCGGGGAGGGGGAGCTCACTTGGGATGAGCTCTCACAGAGACCACGCCAAATGGACGTACGGGGCGTGGAAGAGTCAGTATGGGCAAAAGTTGTGAGAAGGCTAAACAGTGAGCTAGAATCGCCTTTGGGCTAGGGTGGGAGTGAAAAATTCCTGCACAAAAAGATTTTACTGGAAAGGAAAATTCAGTTAACAAAAGCTAGAGCTTATGAGCCAGTAAGACATGATCGGGCAAACAAAGGCATACATTTCAAGTCAGCACTGATGCAATGTCATGAACCTGACAAAAAATGTGCTTGCTTTTTCACATCTTAGGTCATTACGCTGAAACAGGATACATTAAACAGCAGTTATTTCATAACAGTGTGATAAGCACCAAAAACTATGTAACACCAACGTTTCGATGCTGTACCTTGCACTTTCTTGCCCCAGGATGTTTTAACACAAAATACACTCCCGAATCATACCATGTTCCTCTCCTTTTCAGCGCCAAAGATTCATCAACAACTCCTCCACTGAACCAGTTCAGTTCCCACACAGAGTACAGCCCCGTCCACCCATAAAACGTCATTGAAGGTCCTGATATTTCGGGTGCAAACTGAACGAAGCCAGTGACCTATTCCTGATAACCCCATCGAGTTCAGCGTCTTACGACCACGTCTGACTGATTGTCGAGTAAACATTGCTGATGAGCATAGCCAGGTCACCCGTGCGATGGTTCCGCGTCATGCAGAATGAGCGGAACCGAGCACTCCTGTCGTGTGAGCCTTATCGTGTGTGCAAGTCCACCTAAGGCAGCTGTCAGTGGCCTGTGCCGAAATTACACTGTGCGCCGGTGGCCTGTAGCTATATGACATGCGCAAAAAGGGCAGTGTGATATTGAGCACAGACGTTCGATATTGTCTGGTATAGAACCACGATGTGCATTTCAGATGTGCTACCTAGCGGTAAACGGCGACGAATCTTTTAAACAGTGACGAGCAGGCGGTGATAAATCCATGTAGATGGCAGCACTTGCCGCCGCGACCGGCGAAATACGCTGGGAATATGGGGAGGGGCAGATAGACAGCACCGCAGACACAGGGGAACTTCAATCTGGCAACGCCTGAGATATTTCGTCATCCAAACCCGCCCAGAGGGAGGGGCAAACAGACAGCACCGCAGACACAGACGAACGGCAATCTGGCAACGCCTGAGATATTTCGCCATCCAAACCCGCCCAGAAAATTCAAAGCCCTTTCCTCTTCCCCCTTTGGCATCCGCAATTCAAACGTCAGACGGGAAACGAATCAAGCGCCAATCCACGGACCTGGTCAACACCACTCAGGGTTCGTCATGTGGTTCACTATCATGTAACTCGTGACGTCACATATCACGCCAATGGCATTGGCCATCATCATAATCTTGGAGCGGCAGGGCCTGCACGCTCGCGTTATGATCGTCGCAAGGGCCGGGCGCAAACACCGATAAGGATGTGATTTTGCTCTTCAAAACAATTACATGACGTTAACAAAAATCAGAGCTAGGTCCAGACAATGTCGGGTCAAGGCCAAATCGCTTCATCTGATGTGTAGGCTGCAGAGGCTAAATCGTGTTCAAGGGGCCATGGCACAAGCTGGGTTCGAACCCGGGCCCCCAAGTGGGAGCTGAGGACACCGGCCACCCTACAATTACGTTCCTTTTTGACGACATAACCATATTTTCGTTGACTTTAGTGAAATCAGATTGGACTTCGAAATCAACTTCGAAATCGACTTCGAAACCGATTCGGTTCCACTGGCTTTTGAGCTGAAAATATGGGCACCTCTGGCCCTGGCCCTGGACCTGGGGCCGGGCCAAACCGCTCCGACCCCCTCCACAGTAGGCCGAGCGGCGAGAGATGGCGGGCAACGCCCGTGGCACCAGCCACCACCACACGCCCGCTCGCACCGAGCGTCAGCGGGGACGAGTCGGCCGCGCCCACCTGGCCGGGAAGCGGTTCTCGAGGAAGTGGGGGCTGCCGTCTGGATACACGCGCAGGAAGGCGTCCAGCGACGTGGCCAGGTCGACCACGTACTGCGTCAGGTCCCAGAGCTCGTGCCAGCTGATGGCCACCTGGTCCAGCTGGGTGCCGGCCACGCGACCCTCCACCCGCTCCAGCAGCTGGCGACGGCGGAGCGCGTGGCATCAGCGCGCGGCAACAGCGCAAGCACTGCTGTCCCGACAGCCGTGTTAGGTGGAGGTGGCAGCGCCCAAAGTACTAAGTTGTGATGGGGACCCGTCGTGCGCTGGGTCGTTACACGCTCCAGCACAAAACCAGCACACAGCCCAGAACTGATGCCGAGAACAAGCAAACTGCTCGGGTGTACTCGCTGCGTAACCGTCTACAGCCTCAGCTAACCTGCTGGAGCTTAGACATTTTCCGCCCATCTTGAACGACCGTGACGAAAAGGCAAAAATAACCACGGATCTGAAAATTCTTTATAAACGGGGAGGAAAATAGAACAGACGTTTTGCCTATAAAGATCCGCGTTGTGGACAATGTTGAGCGCCAGGGACGGGACATCTCGAATGCCCTCGACCATCCCAGATTTGCAGACTGTATGGGTGCAGCTGGCAGGTGGCTACATGACTTTTTTCTGCGACCATGATGGCTTGATACAGGGCTTAATGGTCACGGCGTTGCGGATAAGCACAAGATCATAGACACACATACATTAACTCAAGGAAATGAAAGTTTCCCATCCAGCAGATAACCAAGGTTGGGCCCGAGCCAACATTAGTGACATAACACACGCCCACGAGGTTGGACCCGAGTCAGCGCTATGGACATATCACAACACATGCTCCCTCCAAGGCCCCCACTGTCCCATCCCCGCCCCGCACCACACTGAGCCCTACCATACCCCATGTTCACCTGTGCCCCCCATACCCGCGTCTGGGGCAGCACCCACCCGTCCACACCTCAAACGGGCCCCGCATTCATCCCTCGGGCAGTACGCGTGCCCGGCGACCCCGACAGAGTGCGTGTACCCGCGTACTCCCAATGTTGCGCCTTACCTCAGGCAGGGCGTGTACCGTCAGCTGCAGGTCCTCCACG